GAAACCGTAGTGCTCGAACTGGATCGCATTGGGCTTCGCGTCGCCAGTGGAGTCTTTCGTGATGAGGTACGTCGCGTTGTACATTCCATAATTTAGAACTGGAAAGCGGACGGAATGTATGGATTAGAACCACTCCACTCCAAGTGAATATGACATGACGTTCTAATTTGTGAAGCTTTGAAGATGCTGGAATTATACATGCGCCGACCAGAGTCGAGCTGGACGGACCCTTTATCAGATTCTTCCGGGAGAAGTCAGAGAAGCTCACAACTGCATGCGTTTATTTTGTGCAGGAATGCCAAACCGGGTCGATGTGTTGCTTTGCAGAGTGCAGGCAGCTGTAATCCAAATTCGGTCGACTGCCGTCGATCCTGTTTGAGTCTTCCTCCCAAACCGTAGCCGACTAATCTCGCTCCGAGGTGGGTGGGAGGGAGGGAGGGAGGGAGGGGGGTAAGGAAATACCCAGAACAAAAAGCGAGAAAAGGGCAAACGCAGCACCCCCCTCCTCCTCCCCTCCTCCTTTATCTTGCATGTTGATCCAGTCGGATAAGGCATCAAAGTGTGCACCACGCATGCTTTGTATGGGACAACGAGATTTGTCTCAACTCTGACCCAAAAGGCCAGCCCGCCCCTCCCTCCATCCCTCCATAACGCTTGTGCGACTCAGAATCTGAATGAGCGCATCATCAGCTGGAAAACTAAGCGCAACCACGACCGATCCCACTTTGCTTCTCGAGGATCTCAGTTGGCTGGATTTGTTCTGAGGCAGCGGAGTTTGTTCGCCTCGTTCTGCAGCTGCTGCTGCTGGATTTGCTTCATGCGGATTGTCCCACCCTAGCCTCCCCTCCCCTCTTCTCTTGAATATGTGCCAATGTGCACACCGCAAAAAAGGCCCTGTACAGATCCGCGGCGCATGAGGACATGACATGAACGAAACCATGCCATGACAGTCACTCGGAGCTCGCTGGCTGGCTGGCCTGCTGGCTGGGGCTGGCTGCCTGGCTCGGACCCGCCCCTCTCCTCCCCTCCCCTCCCCGTCTCACTCCGCACGGACACCTCTGCATCTATGTCTAAAATTCCATGTATCATAGCTATCGATTGACCTGCTCGCCCGAGGTCAATCCCTCGGGACGGAAGACCGGGTCAGCGACGACGGACAGGTCCGAAGAGGACGAACTGAGGAAGGAACGAAGGAACGAAGGAACGAAGAGAGTGTTCGTGTGGGGGGCTACTCTCACTCACTCACACACACACATTCACTGGGGGACAGTGGGGGACTGAGGGAAGGAGTGTGTAAAGTGGTCCTTGCAATCCTGCACGGTGTTAGAATCCTGGGGGCCAATGGGGCTCAGATCTAAATATCCCCACAATTATTGAATTCTGGAGCTCATGATTCCGGAAGTGTCCCTGCTTACGACATGAAGCCAGGGGAAGGAAGGAAGGAAGCAAGGAAGCAAGCAAGCAAGCAAGGACGGAAGGGGGGCTAAATTTCTCTGTCTTGCGCTTGCTCGTCCTCGAATCACAATCATAGCATACATCGCACGCGGGGGTGGTCTGCACTGCCTGCGGTGGCCGGATTCGAGCGGTACGCTAGAGTGGCCCGGAAAGGCAAAACTGCTGGGAAGAAGGGGGAGGGGGGAGGGCAAAAGCGAGGCTTTGGATGCTGGGATGAGCCTGATCCGGGGTTCGTGAGACTGGGAGCTGGACAAGGAACATGAGAGTGGCGACATGCAGGCCGATTCATAAAAATAGGGTGCGTTCTCCGAGACATTCTCCGAGCGAGTGCTGTTTTTACCCACGTGGTGCCATTCATTAAATGCCTAATTACCGCGTATCGAATTTTTCCGTTTCCTCACATCAGGGATGGGTCAGAGAACAGAGTGAAATGATTATTCCTCTGTGCGGAATTTAATATAATTTCTCGCTGAGTCTGGTCTTTGCGGGCAAATTATTTTAACTCCCGTCATCATGTCGGTGCAAATTATATTCACAATTAAATGTTCAAAATATTTGGGAGGGCGTGCCGAATTTCTGCACTCAACGCACGTAAAGACACCTGTTCCTTTCAAGGTCAACGTTTGCTTCAAACCCCCCACCCCCTTCCCTCCCTCCCTCCCTCCCCCGTCCTCCCCTCCCAGACCCCCCACAGTGCTCTCCATTGCCTCCTCTCCCTCCCTCCTTTCTCCTCCCTCTCCATGCCGATGGCCCCTCGTCCTCTTGTTTACAGATTCATCCCTCCCGATTCCTGAAGATGGGCGGATCCATGGAGCAAGCAGGCTGCTTCGGTTGATGCTTTTGCAGGCGATGGAAGCTCTTTTCGAGCCTATTGCAGAGGGTGGAGTTCCGATAGGGGAGGAACGGTCGATGCTCTCGAGTCTCGGAGCTCGTTTGAGCATTTGGGGGTGGCGCCATGGGAGCTTGCTCGAATGCTTGCATGCATGCAAGCATTCATTCATGCGAGGAGAATTGCTCATGAGTGAGCACTCCGGACGCGAGAATATTGTGGTGTGCAAATCCGGGATAAAGGGTGCCAATCATCATACGTTTGAACTCTGAAGTGTTTTGTGGTTGGGTTCGGTTTCTTTTCCAGGAGGCCGACGAATGTTTCAATTCCTTCACGAAGCCCGGCCTGCACTCTACTACTACTACTACTACTACAAGAAGAAGCAGCAGCAGGAGCAGCAGCAGCTATTAAAGCGCATCATCTGCTGGTGGAAAGTCCTCAATGAAATAAGAAACCCGAAGCATTTACTAACATATTCATTTCTGGACTTGGACCCAAATGAAGCCCCATGCCCATTAACTCCTATAAAGCTTTCAACACGGTTCACCATGATGTGGGGAAAAAGCCTACATCCAAGAAAGAAACATCTAGAACTCATGCCAAACCCGTAGTACAGTACAATTCACTCTTTGAATCAAAGCGGGAATCTGTTGTCAAAAGGGTGAAAATTTTCATCATTCCTCTCTCATCACCATCTCACCATCTCACCACCGCAAGCAACACCACATCAACTTCCTCCCTTCCTCGCTCCCTGGGTCATGGAAGGTGGTGTGATTCACAAATCTGCTGTACCGGATGGATGCTGCTACGACGTCATTCGATGATCCGAGGAGAGGGAGGAGATTCAATACACAACAGTCTCGTGGATGGGCTGGGATGGGCTGGGCTGCCTAGCGATGGATGGATGGAGAGAGAGAGGGAGAGAGAGGGAGAGCGAGCGTGCAAGCCCGAAGTCCTACACTCAACACGATACGGCCTCTCGAGCGACCTCATCGCAATTATCATTATCATTGCCCAGGGCCTGGGACGTGTTTCTCTAGATCGTAACCGGTCACACCTGTACGAGCTACAGGGCAGGGAGGGAAGTGTAGTCTGCAACGACGCGGAATCGCTGGAATTTAATGGTATTTTTTTCGCAGGCCTGATCATGCTCAGTCAGCAAGCGTATAAATTCCTCACCTAATATCATGATTATTTCCAACTTTGGTGTGTGCGATAGGTATGCTATGCTATGCTGGGGAAGTGGACTCTGTTGGCTTTCCGCAAGAATCTACATAATATTTTATATTGTTCCATGTTTGGAATTTTTGTAAAGCAGGCCCGTTCCCGTTTTCAACCTTTGAATTTTTATCCAGAGTTTGTATAATAACACAAGGAACCGCCGAAACTTCTCCCGCTGATTGGAAGAAACGAGGACTTTAAATGTCTACACTGGTTTTGTGATCCCCATTCTTTTGGCCTATGTTGTAGATCCTCTCTTATCCTATCTCTTTACATATGATTGAATCACGTAATGACTCCCTGAGATATTGTAATCCATACAAATTTCGCCCCTCCTTTTGCCTTCCCAACTGACGTGTTTTCTGAACAAGGAAGATAAAGGAAACTCCACAGATCCGCCCAATCACCGGATTTTGTTTTCCGCTGTCTTCTCTCGATGATTTTACAGCAGCCAGTATCATGCGACTGACTTCGTCAAGCCCTTTTTTCCTTTATATTTTCTTTTTAAGTTTTCTTCATTTCCAATATTCCGGGCCATATTTATAAAAGAGAGAAAAGATGATGTAGCTTACCTGCAGCCGAGAATCAAACTCAGTGGGAGCTGCTTTCGCTAAATCGCATCATCATTCGTCCGAATTTCAACGGCTGGGCATTCAAAATCCGCCCCCGCAGTGCATCTTGCATGAAACATATAAAACTTGCTACGGCGCTCTAAAGTAGTGCTGCGGGAACATAAAAGTACATGCTTCCAGTACTACGTGTTTCAAAAGCGAAAGTAGAATGTGGTCCAAACGATATTGGTGCGGCTCCCTCGAAAGAAGCACGGTATATTATTCATGACCTTGTTGGTAGCTGACCGGTTCCAAAAACATGTTCATTATAAAAGCTTCCATGGCTTTGTTGGCTTGCGACTCCGGCTCGTGAGGCCTGTGTCGTTCCCACCGGTAATGTCGTTTTGTCAGAATTTCGCCCAGGGAAAGGCAAAAGGAAATAAAGACGTCTGCTGCAAAAGTGCTTACCCCTCGCCCTGATGAGATTACATCAACCTCCATAGCCCTGATGGATGCATAACTGCCCGAAGAAGAAGAAGAAGAGGTGGTGTGGGGTAATGAGAAGAAGCATGGAGGACCTCGGAATTTGTTAGGCCACACAAAACGTTTGGTTAGCGAGGGAGTGGAACATTCGAGTGACAACAGTTCGCCCCGAGCGACCTCACCAGAGACAGAATATACACGAAATTGTAGAGGCCAAATTCTGGGTTCTGGGCCGAACAGTTGTTGACTTTATTACTCATCCGTGTCAAATTCCCAAGCATTGCAGTCTTCTTTATTCAGTATTTTAAGCCCCCGCGCATCTCACGTGCTTAACGCGCAAGCCAGCCTGATTGTTTGGGCGAGCTACAGCGAAAGAAGAGTAGCTAGACGATGGTATATATGACGGGTGGAAGAGTCGCAAGTCAAAGTCCAAAATATTGCACAAATATCACGCAAAGTCAAGAGATCTTCTTTTCATGGAGTGTACAGTCATATGCCTATTGCAGTGAGAGAAGAATAAAAGTTGTTCAGTCCGAGCTCCGGAGAATTTTGTACTTTTTTCCCCTTGTTTTTCCTCAAGGCACCCGGACGATTAACATCCCAAAAGGTTGTACTTTGGACGACGGAGTACTTTGGTCAGACGGTAAGAACCAGCGTTCGATCCACTTAAATATCACCCAAGTACAGCTCCTCGCTTGACACTGCCAGTATGGGGCCTCTCCTCTGGGGCCTCAGGGCCTCACCCCTCGCTGCTGCCTCCTCCTCACCTGCTTGTGGTCTCGAAACAACAACATCTGTCCCCTAGCAGGCAGATGAATTGGCACGGAGAAAGTCATCCTCGGGCCATATTAGCACAAAAGGTCTAATCAGTGCTCGCCCTATGGCGCCCTATGGAAAGTACGTTTTCTTGTAACATGTGATGGATGTGCTCATATTAATCCACAATCGGCAAAAGGTTCCATTCCTCCATGCGTCACACTTCTTCCACTCCAATGCTTCGACTGAACACTTGTCCTTGGTCGTACTCCGATTCCCTTCGGGCTCCGTGTTCTCTTCTTATCCTCGTGTTCAGGTTGGGAAACCCATGTGAGAATCTCCACAGCCCCTTGTCCCTTAAGGTCCTCACACTGTGATCACAAATGTGATCCTGTTCCAAATGCTCACTGTGTAATCGGAATCGGAACTAACCATATCTCCATTCGGGGTCTAACCTCTCGCTACCCGTCTGATTTCATCCCTGTGCGGCTCGATGGAGTGCTCTCATCCTTTTTCCTTATCTACTGGGCCCCCACCCCCACCCCCACCCTTAATCCTATAATTTAAGTGTTTCAAAAGCTCCTGGCTGGCGGGAGGGAGCATGTTAAGTGTCGCCAAAGGGATCCGAAGGGAAGCAGCTTACAGAGTACAGTAGTGCGATGCAGCTTAAGGACAGCAGGACCCACCAATGGGGCATGTTACCCCCTTTAGGATGGGGGAGGAATGTAGGAAACAGATGACAAGATAAGAGTGAGGTCGAGAAAATCTAGATCGGAGCACTTCAACTGTAAATATTCCGCTCCATTGATTGACTCATGCCTTTTGAGAAAAGGGTGGTGTCTGCACTAAGAGAAAGGGCCGTGCTTCGTGGAGGGGGGGAGTAGGTTTCTGGCGTAAAAAGCTTAAAGGGTTTGAATTATTACTTGAAGTGTTTGAATCTATTTGTGACGTCAAAGTCAGTTTGCTCACCAGTCAATATCCGGACCTAATATTCCAATGCTCTTCGTCTGTTCCCACGCTAATCTAGTTTTAAGCACTTTAACGACTCGTGCTTTTCTAAATGGAAACGAACGCCCTGAAGCACCATCGCTTTCTCCTTTCTCTCTAGGACACAGCACCGAGCTGTCGCTTCCCTCGGCTGGCCAACATGAATTTCTACCATACAATTATCAGGAACGAGTTAAATCGCCTCGAGACGGGTTGAGACTCACTTGCTTCTCTACCAACATCTGAGATATCTATATTCGTCTATTCCCATCGATACATGGACTCGCGTAAAATATATTGCACACTATTTCCTTTATTGAGAACTGATGATAGCATTCTGCATACGAGCGTGAATATTGCATTCGAAAAGAAATAAATGAGTACTTTTCATACGTTGGAAACCTCAAAATTTGATAAGAAATGTGAAACATCACATTTGTGTCTTTGGTACATTTTTTTAGTTTGATGTTATAAAAATATTATAGTCTAATTATTTTTTAAAAAATGTAAATGAAGGTGTATCACCATCACGTATGATTTTGATTTCCAAACTTGATAACTCAAAAGTACACGTAAAAATAAAAAAAAGGAGAGCATTATATTTCATAGATTTATATAATATATAGTAAAGATTTTTGGGAAAAAATGAAATGTTGAAAGATTGCAATTTATATATGAAGAATGTTCTTGTTTACATGAACAACTTTTATCATTAGGTTTGAAGCTTATAAGAACACTCTGAAATATGTTATCTTAATACTTTATCGTGTAATCAAAGTAAAAATTTCATATTAAATATAATTAAGAAAGCTTATGTTTTTGAAAATAATATGTATTATTAATCATTTATGAGCGATAATCAGATGATTACAAAAAAATTCAATCTCAATAATTCAAACACTATCTTTACAAAGTCTCATGTTGTGATGTAATATATTAAAAATATAACTTAGCATGATACAAAACTTAGGTGTAAGTACCTTAATAAATATCATCTGTATAATATCCAGAATGGAAATCCTTCAGGCTGCATTTTGAATAATGACGGTATTCATATTATTTTAGTTCATGAAAAGACACTCTTTTAAACTATAATAATGAAGGAAAACTGCAGTGGACGTTATTAAGATATGATATATATCTTAGTTTAATAAATATGAATGCACAACATGGTTTCTTTGCATGATGTCTACACTTTGGCTGCCGTAATCAACTGCTATATTTGCAGATTATTGCTCTATATACATCAAAAAATAATTTAGCATATGCATAAATCAGTAATAAATTATTTACTCAATCATTTCATAGAAACGCTCTGCAACATTGTGTGGTTCAATTTAAGCAGGAACTTTAGATGAAAATAGTATGCCAACGCACAACTGTGATTTATTGCATGAATTTTAAATATATTATCAATGCAAAACTTGTTCTCATAATTTACCTTATTTTGTTCAAGGAAAACTACTCCTATGATTGGACATTTTGTTCAAAATTATATTCTGAATTTGCATGAATTGGTTATATTCGAAGAAGTAAAAGTAGGAGATTTTAAAAAGATTTTCCGGACATCTATGAATTCTTTCATCATATTGAGATAGACATCCTGAATTCTTTAAATGACATGAAATGAAAATGATAGATCATGATCATTAGATGTGAATTTATTAAAAGATTTTTCTTTTGTTTACATGTGTAGTACACAACTGAAAAAGTTCGCCATATAGAGCAATGATTTCTTAGTTTTAAAACTTTGTTGACTGATACGTAATAATGAAACTTAGAAGTAGAATACTTTAAACTAATCATAGCTTGAGGTCAGATGGAAAGAAAATTGTAAATGATGACAAAAATATCATATTGCACATAAATTTAGCTGTGAGAATATGCAAAAATACTGGTAAGATCAAAGCACCACATGGCTTTATCTTTACGAAGGACTTTACAAAATATCTGGAGCACATCCCAAATCACCTCGGGACTTTGGCATGCTCCATCCTCCTTGGGGATGTGTTGTTTCTATGATTAGTGTATAAATTGAAGGAGACCAAGGATACGGGTGACGACATTGATGCTAGAAGGCGATCAATGATGAGTGGGTCATCATATTTGGATTCATAAATGATAATGGGCCGATATATGTAAAAGCACGACATTTCCATATTTATGTAGTGAATGTGAAAGCGAGCAGTAAACCCATGGGGGAAAAACATGGATCATATCAGAATAAATCATTCAAGCATGCACAGGGATAGATATTTTGGGCATATCAAATCTCGAATGTTGTTCTATTGCTGGAAGATGAAGATACCCCACCCTGAAAGATGGATAGCAAGAAAGAAAGCAGAAGAGGCTTGGCAGTTCCTTTACATTTGTATAAATGGCTCGAGAGAAAGAGAGATAGAGAGAGATGGAAATGGGATATTTCTCTTGAAGAACACTGTTACCTGTTGTCGTCACCCCTTGATAGGTTCGACTCGTCGAGTTCAGAGTCCGCAGTTGAGAAGGTGGGATCTCAACCACTTTCATCGATGATAGCTAGCACAATAAAAAATTCTCAAGCGCAGAGCCATAGAGATATATCCATCGTACACTAACTCCACGGAATTGCACTATAAGCTCGAGGACGGAAAGGGAGGAAGCACCCTGCTCTGCGATTTGCTGCGCGAATGCTGCGAGATATGATTATGTTTGGGCGAAGGGCACGGATGCAAAGCGGGCGCAATAGCAAGGCAAATGATTCGCCTCGCTGCTGCCTGGAAAATGGGCATGGGGCAATGTGCGCCAAACGGCTAAATGAGCAGAAAAAGTTGGAGAGTGTGACATCTTCCAGAATCTGGGCTTCAGAATTCGTGCTCGTAGGAATTTCTTTCCCGAATTTATGGCCATAAAATAACATAGACGTCGGTCGTTGGTTCGAGGGGCAGAAGACGATGTTCATGATAAGACAGCGCGAAAGGGCCAGGATTTCAAGATCATTCCTGCGTGGGGCAAAAGGCGCTTTCCCAGTGAATGTCCTACCGGCCCGGGCTCCCCCCGCAACCTCTACCCCCTCCCCACCCCCAACCCCAACCCCACCACCGCAGACCCCGATTTGTTTCGCTTGTCTGCTCCTCTCTATCATGTCCCCCAACCCCTTTCCTATGTTTTCCTGCCTGGTGCGCGAATGCTCGCGCTCACGGGTGCCAATTACTGAGAACTGAGAGACAGCACGAGAGGTGCCAAGTAGGCGGAGGGAGGGGGGATGCACCGAAGCCGCAATCAGGACAGGCAGGGGGGAGAATCAGGCAGCCGGTACCGGTGACCGGGTCAGGGGGGGCAGGGGCAATGGGGGAGGGGCAGGGAGGCTTCCAAACACAGCCTTTTTCCACAAGGCGCTTGCCTCAGGGGGAACTATGCTTTCCAGATTCTGGATTCTGATAGGACGATAAAGGCGCTCCCTGATAGCAGGCAGCGCTTTCATTGTGCACTCTTCGCTTGTCGAGATACATCTCGATAACTGTTCCAACGGTTGCACCGGCTGTCCGCGGGCGGGACAGTTAAGCATGAGGAGCCTGGCCTGCCCTGGCCTTGCCTGGGCGCCTGGCAGGGGGAAGAAGCCCTTTCCCCCAACCCCAACCCCCTCGCCCTCGCTCTCCAAGCTGAGAGAAAGTACATACCGGTATATTCGTGGCCACCAGTTGGCCTGGGCAACGCGTGAACGATGTCAGGTCAGGCCGCTGCTGCTGCTGGGCCAGTCTGACGAGCGAGAAGGAGAGAGAGAGAGAGAGAGAGAACTAGATTTAATTCGGGCTGGCTCCGCACTCCGGAGCTGCAGGACATCGGTTTCTTTGCAGCGGAGTCTGAGTCGGGGCCTGCACTATTCGACGCGACGCTGTGCTAGGCTATGGTAGGCTATGCTAGGCTATGCTAGGCGAGGCGAGGCGAGGCTATGAGGCCATCGAAGCGTCCGCCTGCGGGGAGGATTGGATGACTGGTTTCGCATGACATTGATTATTCTAGATTTTTTCGTTCGCTTCATGATCATGTGCGAGCGATGGGAAGGAAGCACGGGCGGTATGTCTGTTTTGCCCAGAAAGCGATCGCGAGTGATCATTATCGACGCGTCATTATCCAGATTCTTGCGAAAAAGCAGGGCTAATAAATTCTCGAGCTGTTGTCCATTCCTCAGGGGGTATGTTCAGTGCAGGAATCGGGCTGCCGCTGGCTCGCAAACCTAACCCTCCCCTCCCTGCCCTCACTGCAGCGCCCGTAGATTGAAACTTGGCTCCTGTTGATTCGAAAGATTTCGCCATGCCATAGTGCGTGGAGAGCATAGACTCTGTAGACTCGAGACTCGTAGCTTTAGAATCTAAAGCCCCGCATTGAAGAGCTCCGGGGCTCGGAGCACTTTGACGCCATCCTGTAGGACGGACAGAGCAACTCCACTCCTCTCCTCTCCTCTCCTCCCCTCCGCTCCTCGTACATGAATCGCCCTAGAAGATGCCCCTACAACTGTTTCCTGCATGCGCGAGGAGAAGTACTGCCACTGCTCTAAACTGCCGAATCCCAAGCCTAATCGACATTCCCGCACTGTTTAACGAGACGAGCGAGAGCGGCTGGAATATATCCAGAGCGCCCGTCGCCCTTCGCCTCCCTGCGGATGATCTGATCTGCATCTAGAGCAGCTGGAATATCTAGAGCCGGTGCCGATCCCGTGCCGAACAATCCAGTGGAGAAGCCATCCGGTGGAGAACAGAACATGTTTTTGTCTCGAGAAGGAGCCAGCAGTCCAATCTGCGTGGTCGTGGTCGTGGACGCGGACATGGACTTGGACATGGACGGGCCGGGACGACGCCCCGCCCCGCACCGCAACGAGCGCTGTAGCTCTTATCCTGGGAAAAATCAAGGGGAATCCGTCTTTCTTAAAAGCATGTGCGAGCCAAAAGATGGAGAAAGAAGGAAGGGAAATAAATGCACAGAGCCAAAGACGGGAGAATATTCAGCAGGTTTAAGGCCTGAGAATTCATGTCCTCCGCAAGACCGAATTGCATGTGCTCCAACGGCGTCCGGCCCGGCCCGGCCCGGCCCGACCAGCGAGCATGAGCAGCAGCAGCAGCAGCAGCATGTCGTGTTAACACTAAGTCAGACAGAATTCCTCCCTACAACGACGTAAAGTGCATCAGGTAATCATGTTACTCATCTCCACATTCACACCAGGTGACATATTGCTGCCATTGCAGTGGGGCTCGGGGGGTAATCTCGCATCGAGCCATCGACGCGACCTTCCTAAAACGTCATTATCATGACGAGGAGAGCCGCTCATGGGGCCTCCAAATCGCTACGCTCGTCCCAGAACAGGCGTAGCCGTGATCCTGACCGCCGACAGCAAAACATCACATCGGGCAGTCGCCACAGGGCAGCCTACCCCCAGGCAGGCCCTGGATCGGCCGAATTCCGCGTCCGTCCAGTTTGCGCCAGGACCATCAAGTCATCGCTTGTGCCCGCGCTGCCCCGACCTGAGCAGCCCCTGACCGCCTGACCGACCGGCCCATCATCGATCCCGACGTCATGCTGTCCAGGCGCGCGCAGCGGGCAGGACCCCGCCCGGCCCGGCCCGGCCCGCAGGTCTCACGGGGCCTCGGTCGCGCCACCGGCGCTGGAAAGTCAACACCCGGCAGCATTCTATCGTAGGCCGTGACGAGCTCGCCGGCTGCCGGAGGTGCTTATCCCGGGGCCTGGGACCTGGGACCTGGGGCCTGGGGACTGGGGCTGGGGGCCGGGGGCCTGGGAGTGGGGTTCCGAGACTCCAGAGGGAGCGAGGGCGATACGATAGTGGATCAGTTAATCTATCCATCCATGTTCATATCTATCTGTGTATCATCACAGTGGCCTCGGGGCGAAATCTGCCGGGCCAGTGCAGGTGAAAGGAACGTAGGCGACTGTGGGCAGAATTGAATTCTGCTGCTGGACCAGGGTAGGAGGACGCGAAGGTCAGGGCCGAGGCCTCGGTGCTGTGATGGTGGTGGCAGAGGAGCTGCTGCAGCTGCCGGTGCTTTGCGGAGGGGAATAAAGAGGTACAACAGATTGCGGGGCCCATGGGAGCTGGAGCAAATCCGTGTTAGAAACTCGTAGACTAGACAGGGAGGGGGGGGTGGGGGCCTAGTGCGAGCCAATGCAATGTCAATGCTCACGTTGTGGGGCCGCCTGACTCTCACTATTAAGAGCATAGTTCGCCCTGTAGAATACTATCTAGGAAAGTGGGGAAAAAAACCTAGAGGGCGAGTGAGGTTCAACCTGGACACCAGTCCATCATCATACGGATAGTAATGACAACAGTACAGAGCAAATCACCAGACACACAGTACCGTATCGGATCGTTCCCGAATGCAGTACTTTACTGTATGGCCTCCATTATTCACCCTCTCGGTTGCCTTCCACGACCTTTCTTGTCGTTCAGAGATATATCAACGTTTTACCCCTCGTATCCCCCCTCCCTCCCTTCCCTCCCCTTTCTTCTCCTTGAATCCTCATATCCCTTCCTCCCGATCCTCCCAGTCCCAATCGCCAATATTTGGATAATTGTTTTAGACCTTTGCGTGCACGTCATGACCTCAGTTTCATTCGATGGTCGCTTGCGCTCTCTAGCTGTAGATGAATATTCTTGACAATGCAATCAAGGCACAAGCTCTACTAGACGTGCTCCTTACTTTCGACGACCCTTTGATCGAGATACAGTAGCAGTAGCGCTAAACCGGGCAGATGTTGTTTTGATTCCCCTGGAGCTCCCTTGAAGTTGGAGATCTGATTCTTCTTTTTCCAACGCCCCGCACCTCTCTCCGTCCATCGCCCGGTCTACCGATGTAAGCCTTCGAGACAATCGAGACTCTGTCCCTCTCACAAGAACCAATTCTACGTTAAAGTTCCTCCATCCGTAATAGTTCTGTATTCTCGTCGCCAGCCAGGTACGTCAAAATCATCCATGGTACAGTATCTGTTTCCCCGTATGAATTTGTATACACTGGAAAGTTCACGGCCATGGCCATGGTTCTGCTCCAGGATCGGAAAACCTGGAGACGAAGTTCCTTAGCTGTCACAGTGATCTCCGCTAGAACAGAAAAGCCGATTTAAGGGCCGACGTCGAGGGTCGAGGATCGAGTGTAAGCGGGGTGACCTGACTGGATTCCGGCGTTCTTTGGCTGCTAGGGTACTTTCTACTTTGCCCATGCGGCCTGACCAGACCCGGATTCAGTTGGTCCCAGAAGGGAGCTGGGAATGGGGATCGGCCCATGTTGACCCAACTCCTGGCCTCGTCTGCGATTGATTTGGGCATGACTCAGAAGATCACGCGGTCAAATGCAAGACAGCTGATAGTGCTGTGCTGGGCCGCTAGCCGAAAGGAAGGGTTATAAAAGTGAGGGGGGGAGGTCTGGAAGATAATTCCATATTCTTTCCTGCAATGACTTGATCATGGAATTTGATCATTACGCTAGATGAATCATACGAATCTCTAAGCGGATAAATATTATTTTTTATAGGCAAAGAAAAAGAGGCATATAGTTACGATTTGGGCGTGTTGGTCAAATGTGGACACTCGGAGAGGAGTGTGGAATTTCTTTATTCTTTTCTTGGGTCTCTTGATCACGCAACGGATCGTAAGAATGGGGGCATCCTGCGAGCTCCAAAGTGTCCAGTGGCCCTAAAGTGCACATAGAAAGGAATAGTCAGCATTCCATCCGTGAGACAGCTGCCTTTGAGCTCCGGAGGTGAACAAGTGCTCGAGATCAAACTCGGTGCTGGCAATAATTGGACACGAATGTCGTCGTTCTAGCATATGCAAGAAGATTTATGTTGGGAGGCAGCATGTTAGCCATGCATGTCACTCACGTCCATGCCAGAATCAACAGTGCTCGTAGTCCGCACGACACACTCCTCAGCATTTTGTTAACTTATCCTCTAGATCTCATCTAATTGTGAACGTTTCGTTCCAATCCTGTTCCCTCCCCTTTTCCATCACGCAGCACTCGAGGGCGGCACACCCGTGTTAAGCTCTAGCTCTGACTTTCTGGATTTACAGCAGGTGCTTGCCGATTGATTACCACTTTGGAACCACTCCTCGTTCCCTCGAGGATTTACAGGACGCGGACGCTATTTGGAAATCAATATGTATGATCATGATTTTCCCAGGTTTTTTTTTAAATGAAAAGAGGGTTTGTTTGCAGCAGGTGCTTTGCTGGTGATACCCAGGCCCATATCTTTGCACTGCATTGGAGCATCAAAGAAATCGAATGTCTCCCCCGTCCCGTGGACTGACTGCTTTATGAAAGTGCATGCGCATACCAACCCAGAATTCGAGCAAGTTACACTTCGGGCAAGATTCCAGTCTGAAGCAGATCTATGAGCTTTCTTTTGGTCGGCTGATTATATGCTTCAAATCGGTGTCTTTAGGACACGTGTATTGGGCAAAGAAAACGCCCCGCCCCAACTTTTTCTAAAGATTTGGATGCCGAGCATTTGCATGCTTTTAGCCAAAACAATCGGTTGCTTCTGTTGCCATGGCACTTGTCTTCGAGACATGCTGAATAATCAAGTGGATGGGCTTGCTCCCTCCGCCAGCCAGCCAGCCAGCCGCCCGCCCGCCCAGCCCAGCCCAGCCCAGCTCAGCTCAGCTCAGCTCATTCCAGTGGCATCCAGGACCAATTAGAAAAAGGCTCACCGGGGTATCCGATATTTGATTCGATCAAACGACCATTCGAGTTATTGGGGGAATAAAAAACCAAGCCCGGGGCCCGAGCCCCTCGCCACCCCAGAAAATATGATGCGCGTGACATCTAGTGGAAAGTGTTCTCTCATGAAAGCCCTCGACGGGAGATCCAGAAAATGCTCCACTGAGTCCACATCTGTTCACACGGCCGCCAGTGCGTGCAGTCGGTCAGTCAGTCGGCAGTTGTTGGAAGGCTGAGTGAGTGAGTGAGTGAGGCACTGAGGCACTGAGGCAGTAGTGAGCTTCACAGATCGATCTGTGACAATTCAGCGACAGCACGAACGAAGACAGACAACAATTTAAGACGCTGTAGTTTATACTGTGTACGCCTCCCTCCTCCCTCACGACAAGCGCAGAGGAACGTATTCAAGGGGGCCGTATGTCTTACGTCGTCTACTGGTACAATCTTATGACGGACGAATTGTTGTACGATGTCGTATAGTCGTGATAGGAGTGTAGTGTACTGTTGTGCCTCGAGTCATTGGGCCCAGGCAGGCTCAGCTTGCCCCCTTCCCATCGCTTTCCTCCCCTGCCTGCCTGCCTGCCTGCCTGCTTGCTTTCCAGTTCCAGAATCCAGAAACGAACGACCGCGCAGGCGATAGCGTCATAACCATCATGTAAAGTTCTAAGCCCCGCGGGTTCGCTGGACTGCGGAGATCTTGGTTTCCAAGATTGTCTGAGAAGAAGGGACCAGGAAGTCACTGTCCGAAACGAGGAAACCTGGAGATGGCAAAAGGAACCGCAGTCAAAGAAAAATGGCCAGATCTTCCAAACTGGCAGCTCTCTCTCTCTCTCTCTCTCACCGAAACTGGTTCTTCTTCTTCTGGTAACTCTTCTGATCTGGACTCTGACCTTGAGCTCTGCTCATCAGATCTTCGAGGTTTGTGTTGTTGGCTGCCGCTGCAGGGCAGGGAAGGGCAGGGCGAGGAGGACGAGGAAGGAAGGAAGGAAGGAAGTCTGGGGAGGGGGTGAGAACGTGGTAAGTTGGGCATCAGACTGTGATCTGGTGGTCAGACTGCGTTGCAGTCGGTCAGTCAGGTGAGGCCAGGCCCAGTAGCAGCCTGGGGAGGGCCATTAAGTCGGAGAGGAATTGAGAGCAGTTCGAGGCGTTCAGAATCTTCCTCTGATTTCTGAGAAGATATTATCCTCCAAAGCTCGTAGAATTTCACATTCTATGGAAGTCGTCGTATCATTCTTAACCCCAGTGCTCGCTCTGTAGAAGAACACGAAGCAAGCGAGCGAGCGAGCAGGAAGGCGACAAAGCAGTAAATGGCCAACACATTGAATGTAGAAGGCTGGAACAGTTGGAGGGAAGGGACGGCAAGGCGAGGCAAGGGGCGGCAGGGAGGGAGGCTTGAGCCGAGCTGATCTGAAGCTGAGAGCTGAGAGAGAAGAGGAGAGAAGAGAGAGAAGAGTGAGCAGAGATGGGCAGAGCGGAGCCGAGCCTCCCGATTCCTCGCGCGAACTTCTGCCCATCGAGTATCTTGCAATATCAAACATACCAACGGCCAACGAGTACTGTATGCTCGTGTCCACACACAAAAACAAATGGAAAAAGCGTACCACAACAACATGTGTGGCAAAAGGATAGTTCTTGTCGAGATGGGGTACGGTAGTCCTCCTTGACTATTTCCAACTGAATATGAGAGAAACCGCGTGCACAGTGTCATCATGTGCTTCACTGTACCTCGACCAATCATGGACAATACAAAGCGGAACCCTTTTTGGTCAGATTCTGTGCTCGGGCTCTTGACCATAATTCACTCGCAATCATTCCACTCGAATGGGATTCACTCAAATTCGCAGACAAGACAGTCCCTATCCTGATTGATCTCCTCGGACTCCTCCCTCGCAGGCCCTTCCTGTGCAGGCCTTGCCCCCCTGCCCCGTGCCCCTCCCCTGCCTTCTCTAATTGTTACCTCTGACGAGCCCTGTACTTCTGTACCTCCAGTCTAACCTTTAGGATCCCGGCTCCGAGACGTATTTGTTATGGAATTCATCCCCTTCACGTGGTCACAGCAACCCCAACATGGGACTCACATTTGACCCAAATTCAGCAGTCTCCAGTGCGAGAGGCCGAGCCTCATTTAAGCCACCCCGAACTATGGGCGCTGGCTTTCTGATGACGTTTGGTTCGGTGTAACTCTCGGACCATTGGAGTGGACTTCTTCCTCACCGTTCTGGACTGTTCTGATTTGCAGCGCCGTGGATGCAATAACTGAATTCCGGAAAATTCTTGACCTTCTCAACGGGAAAAATGTGGGCATCAGTTTTATTGTTGTGAGGTAATAATTCAGACCCCAGTCAATCCTCACTGTACTATATTCTATCCCTTGTGTTCCCGATGGAGCGCAAATTGGCTCGACGATTCTTCTGCGTAAATTGAGCCCTGGAGTGAAGTACTATACCATTCCGTCACTGGTCGCAGATTTTGGGTCTCAGATTGCTGCCAGGACAAATATCAAGAGCTTAGTCACATGACAGTGCGTGCTCCGTCGAGCCTCGAGGAGTAGGAAAAATCTTGTGGGGCTTGATTTCTGGCCCCAACGAGGCGTGCTCTAGCGATCATCTAGAATGATTGCAGTTTTGTTGTCATGAACATGGTGGCCGACGAAAGGTGTTGAGAGTGAACTTGCTGCGATTTGAATTTGAGGGACGAACGTCGTTGGGCGATGGTTTCCATCATTGTACAAAATTATCAATTGTGATTATAAGTTCGTCATCATGAAGGTAGTGCCGAGGACGCATCTAAAAACGAGTTTGAGTGGGCAGAGGAAGACCAGGCTTTCCATTCTGGGACACGATTAACTTAAATGATACGAGTAAGTACCCTTCCTCTAATCATGAAAATCGGTCCAAGGGGCAGATCTTTGGCCATGGATGGCCTCATAGCTAAGCCTCCCTTCATGTTGGTACACCTCAGCAGGGGAGACAAATCTCGTACGACTTTCTCTCTCGCTTTTGTTTTGGTTTCAGCTCGAGGTGAGACACTGGAACTTCCCTTTTTCTTTTGCTTTGCCAAGCACCTCCTATCCAACCCTGCAGGCACAGGCGTTCCGAGTTCCAACCCATGGGGTGGGGGGAAGGTTAGAAGTCTGGAAGGAGATGAGACCAAAGATGATGTCATCCCTCATCCCGCGCACCTCGTTTTGTGCATGAAATTTGTTCACCTGTCCGGAGCAAGGGAGTCGACGTTGGAGCAGAAACAGTGATCGAAGCTCAGCTATGTGTCACACATGCTTGGCACCAAAAGGTCTCGAAGAAAGCAGAAGCCAAGAGACGCCATGCCATGTTGGTGCTCGCATGACTCGCCAGATTAAACAAGTCGAACAGCATTGTGAATGGGCCGAACGATCGATGGTGGTGCAGTTAGTCAGTTGACTGGCGTTCATCACTTGTAGTGGATTAATGAAATGGATTGAGATGCTAAACAACAAGAGTCAAACTGAAGCGCAATCGCACCACCACAACAACATCAATAACAACAACAAAGATCGGCAGATGATGTAACAAACTGCATGGCATAAAATCATGTTTTATCTTCTAAATCCGTTGGCGAGACAAAATCATGGAGCCACATCGGAGCATGATGATGGCACCATGTGCCAACAAACGGACGCTTTTTCTTTGAAAATCGGATTCATGGACAAGAGCAGGCCCGATTAGCAGGACAATCAATTCTTTAACGATAATTGACATCACAATCGGCCGCAGGGGGAGCACGGCAGGCTTTGCAGAACACGTAGGCACGATTAACAGGTAGACGGGTAACATAAACTAGGCCCGACTGTACTGCAGCACTGAAGATCATTATGGACTGATTGATGCATCGTTCCATTAGTCGAGGGGACTTAGCTCTGAGTCCCACTCGAGTACGACGGAACTAAATCTACGATGTCCGTCGGCTGGCACCAGAGATTGCTCGCTCGCTCGCTTCTACATTTCGTACGCAACTCTACCTAGTTTTCTATACGCATTATTTTGATCCACAGTTCAGACGCACACAGGCATTACAGTTGCACGAATATCCCTGGTATTGTCTGCTGCGAGATTCGCGATCGATAATATTATCGATCGGTGTAGGGAAGCTCGGTAACCTAGATCATCCAGTCACGGTGGTGGGGGATTCTAGTCTCTCGGTCCCGAGTGCACTCCTACACTACGCCGGTCGCTTTGTTCACCGCATTATACTTTTCTCAGAAGGGAAGGAATTATACTCCAGAGGTGTGAGTGAGTGAGTGAGTGGTCACATTGACTTCACTGTGCGCGAATCGAACAAAGTCTTAGAGGAAGCAATAATATATTTTTGCGCAACTACCCTCACTCAGCTCTCTCGTCGGGTCCGCTCTTAACACAAGACCGTACCTCACATCGTGTGAGAACCCATTATTGACAGCATGACTAACATTCGAACGCTCATGGGCGCCATTGGCTATGGTGATTTGTAGATCACTCCATGCGCTAGTGACCAGACCTATCCACACCGTAGAAACATCGAGCATTTGTTAGCTCCGGCTAAGCTCGTCTACTCGAGGCAGCAGAATAATCGTCTCATAATCAGTAATTAATCCGCGCAGCATGAGCCCCGTCATCCCACCTCGTCTCGCCGATACAACATTACCGCTTGCAGCAGTGGCGGCCTCCGTCGAATCAGATTTTGTTCCCCCGATCCTCCTTGGCCGGCAGAGCCGGCAGCATTTTGTTTCACTAAACTAATCTAAAGCGATTGCGGTAATCTCGTCAAAAGGTCGTTCTCCCACCATCGATCGGCCGGCCAATAGTCACACCGGAGACTGAATTCCATGGACGGGACGTCACTGATGCGAAAACAAGTCAATGGTTGCTTGATACCCACAAGAGATCTGAGTTTCGATGACATCACATGTGATGATGTTCCAGTCCCATCCTGTGTCTCTTGTAATATCACACGTTTAGACCACTACGCGAGCCTTATGACATTTCTGAACAAGGAAGAATGTTACGCAAAAAGAGGACACCCGGTTCGACTTATCTGCCTCCCTCCCTTCCTCCCTCCCTCCCTCCGCTTGCGACTTTTCACTTTGCCTTGGCTGGTGAACAACAAACTGATGTCCCGCAAGGTGGAGTCCCAAGTTTGACTCACGAGCTTTCACGTCTTTCTTTCCATCTATGAAGTCAAAGGTCGCGGGTATATGCTGTCACGACAGGTCCCTACCAAATGCTGGGAAAGCGTTTACTACTTTAGTACTGAATAACGGCACCCATTGACAAGAATCACCTCTTTTGTCGAGGGCCTCTCTTGTCATGAGATGTTTGAGCTCTAAAGATTTCTTCCCGGTTGCACAGCATTCAGTTTACCCGTTTGTGGAGATAAGCTTTGAGATGTTAAGCTAAAAGTCGCTAACCTCTGACAGGGGGAGTAGGTGGGTTTGTCCTCGACAAAGTCGACAATGTCTGATCCTCCTTCTCTTTCCTCTGTGGAAACTACATGACTCTTGCTTTTCCTCAAAGTGGGCACGAAAGGTTCAAAGCAAACACCTCCTCCCCACACTTTCCGGGCATCTACAGCTCTGTCTGTCTTTCTTGTCCATTTTGCTCCTTAATCCAGCACGTAATCATTCTCGCTCTTATCGCCCCGAGCATAAGACTGCGTCAAGAATCCTGTCCGAATCGCTCTTTCCCTCAGATGATAGAAATACATGTGCACCCACCACATAAAAGTACAGATCACGGGCGCTTAAAAGAGATATGTCCAGTTCTAAAGCAAAATCAGATTCAAAGGGCCATGTCAAGAAGCTACGGCAGGGTGAAGCTATCTTAAACGCTGAGACATTCGAATAGCCACTGGTTCTTCCAATTCGACGTGTCTTTTGATGCCACCACACATCAACGGAGTTTCTCGTAGCCAGGATCTTGTCCACGAAGTTCGCAAACGGCCCTACTTTGACTAGGACCTTCGTCACCACTCCACACTTACGATGACAGGGTCAAAAACGGGACGCTCCGACCTCGTTGATAGCTGAAAACCATACAATTGAAAGGACTAACATATCTTATTACAATCATGATACAACTTAAGGCAACGAAGGCAGATCAAATGTACAAACGTCTGCACTTAAAAATTCAACAAGACATTATTCACAACAAAAAGCATTGACCCGTAATTCAAGCCTCGATTTTGTACAAATTATAATACCCGTACCCGTATTCTTCCAAACGTAACAAAGACACTGCGGATGCATTTGTAATTTCAATGTACTGACCTCCTAGTCGACGAATAAAGCTGGTAAATAGATGGGCAGAACGATTAAAATCAACATATGCGCACGGAGAAGGACATCACTTCACCTCTCGCATAGATCATGATCCTTCTTGTTGGACATGTCGATCGACTTCTGGGATCCTCAGAAGCCGACAGGAGCCTCTACGTTGATAAGTAAAGGCTAAGAACATCTGTGGACTTTCCACGTAGTGCCCATGTTTTTGTCAAAATAGAACCCCATTTGACATTTTTTAGAGAGAGCGGATTGTCAAGATATCCTAATGAATGTTATTCGCAAGACTTCTTGTGCGGAGCTACCTAAAACTGGAGTCTATTGTTGTAAGGAAATAGAGATCTTTAAAGTCTAACGGGCACTCAAAATATACTTCCACATCAGAATAAGGTTATGATAATCGTATAGCCGTAAAAACGCCACCTACAGATCATAAAGTTAGTAAACTGAACGTTATTCAGAAGTCATAAACACGCAGGCAGTGCAGGTGATCTATACCTCTGAGACTTCACCTCTCCACCTCAAAATAAAATGTGACAACGTTGACACTTGCGTGTCATATATAAGTGAGACAATCAGATCTTCAAAGGTGTTGAACAACTCGCGCTCTTTCTCCTGCAATTAACAAACACACCTAAAGTCTATACATAAAAACCATAGGTATAGATTAGGCAGAATTGTTTTACAAAATGCTCTTGCTATGTTGCATGGGCAGATTCATAAAAACAGTACATGTTGACAGGGAGGAACACTATAGGATATCCTCCGTTGCTCAGAGAGGAATGAAGAACACTTCCAAGTTCATGAGCTCTTGTCAACAAATTGCCTAGGAATATGAAACTTATCGCATATTGTTTTTCAAGAGAGAAGGAAGAGCTTGCGGCCATTCATAGATCACAGATAAACTACTATCGCATAGTAGACAAGGGAGTAATGAAAACACCTAGCGTCAACTTTCAATTGAAGGAAGACACGCCAGATAAATTTCAGAAAGTAAATATCGGACACAGAACTCCGGACCACGAACTAAGAGAAACCGCTAGAAAACCTCACACAACTCTGCTACACTAGGCAACAAAGAGAATAATATGTAGGAATAAGCCAAAAAATACTAAAATCGTACGCATATAAAAAAACACCTTTGAAACCATCACAAAAGGAGAAGTATAACAATAAACACAATCCCGTATAAGCTGGGAATTTGCGTTCACCACCAAAGTACCATTTCTAGCCTTGTTTACGAAGTGTACCATAGAGTACATGATACTCTTCCTGTGAATCGGGCTTAGTACATTGCGACGGTTTTTACACGACTTTGCGTCTGTTTATACTCATGCATTCACTGTGTTGACGGACCAGTTGCAAGTCCTGACGCTGAACTCTACATACAACAAATGAGTAGCTTCGACCAGTTTTCATTGCTTCGGTAAAAATGCCAAGGCCCTCTCAAAATTTCATGAATGAAGAGATTTTCAATCATTCATGATCTCGTCGGCTTAGGAAACATATGAGCACCGGCGAGCTTCAATCTTACCCACGGGTTTAGCTCTTCCTTTATCCCACAATATCACTACGACAACCCTCGCGTGACCAAAGGCCTTATAAGTTAGAAGAAGGAGAAGCTCCTTTCTGGCCTAGTCGTTGGTCGGTAAAACTCAAGTAGCAGCTTATAATTATTCTCCGGAAAGGAAAACTGAGATCTATTCTATGTTTGATGACCTATATTTCTCATCCTTTCTTATAATTACTATAAAGACTCAAAACAAAATTAATTGTCTACATTTTCTCCTTTCTTAGGACTTCCACTCGCTAAAGGTTGGCGCATGGGCTTGGGCATTTTCTTTCCTTTCTTCTTGAACTCCTCCTCCTTCTTCAGCCGCTCATTCAGCTTCCGTGATTCAGTTTTCGCTTTCAACATCAGCTCATCAAGGAAACCTCGATGAGGGAAGTCCTTTGGACAGAGTTTACGATAACTCCTGAATTGCTTCTCAGCTTCAGCTTCCTCTCCGATGATACTGTAAACTAAACCCTGTTCAAAAAAACCAAGATCCAGACAAATATCAGTCACCTAGTCAGCGTACAGTGAGATGGGCCAAAAACAGCCAGAAGTGAAGAGATAACATCCATCATGCAGACTCATGTGTCACGGATGAGAAAAAAATGTTTAATATGAATAAGAACCAAAACTTGGCCACTGCTGTGAGTCTGCCGTGAAAAACCGGCAGCCCTGCTTCGAGAAAATTTGATTAGATCCTAAGTTTGAAATTTCACTGTCTTGAATTTAGCCGAAATGGTTACTTCATCCTACGGGAAGTAAAGGCAGTTATAATTATACACCAAACCAATTGGTTAACACGATAAAAGAAGGGAGGGCAGACTTCACATCAAGTCATTTGAATTGGGGTGAGTATGCTCCACCAACGAATGTCTCCATTTTCAAAGAGTATACTTCATTGTAATACATAGACAATGGAAGTTCCGATTCCATGATTGGAATTTCATGAGACAGAGCTGCTACCTCAAGTTTTCTGGTTACCATGTCTAGCTATTAACGAGTTTCAAAAATTGTACGTATAGTACTTTCCTTGACTTAGTGACAATTTCGCATGCACTTTTATGCTTTGACCATTTCTCGGTCTGGAAGCTGCTGAGGTTAGAGTCTGGAGAACCTACTCAGATCAAGAACTAAAACAGAATCAAATTTCGATTCCAACCCTTCGGTCTGAGTAACCAGAGGGAAAACGTTCAATTCAATTGGACCTTAATACTAGATCTGAATATTTGTTTCAAAGAAGTTTTCAGTTTTCAGGAAAGAAACCAGAGAATAAAGTGAACTCACCTGACAGAGATACGGGCGATAGTCTTGAGGGTCTTCCTCTACGACTGTCCTGTACAGCTCCATAGCTTCATCCAAATTACCCTGTTCATAGTTGGCAAAAATAATTATATCAGATAGATGACTCAAGGCCTTGACTTAGGATACAATACAACTCATAGTTTGATTCTTATGGCAAAGTATCCCACCACAAATCCAGCCCAAGTTGAAAATCAGACCTGAATCGTGTGCATTTGCCCCAACAACATTCTCAAATTTGTTGCTTCTTTAGCTTGACCTGCATCTACAGCTTTCTTTACTGCTTCTCCAAGCAGCTCCAATGCTTGTTCATCCTCGCCATTTTTTTGCATGACAACTGCCAGTCCCTGAGCATCAGACGACACAAAGATGTAAAACAAGCTTCTGAATTGTCAAGTATAAATGATATAGAACCTCATTAAAAACATGAATACAAAGCTGTAACCACCATATATGTAAGAAACAAAAAACCAGCTAGGTCCCGCTGGGAGCACGCATGGGTTTAGGGTGGTTGAGACTATGCAGTCAGCATGGTCTCAAAAGAGCTGTCTATAAACGGTAGACACTGATTAAAGGAAGGCACACCAACTCCTTGCTCAAAGTCTTCTACGCACAAATCCCAAAATTTCCTACAGATGTCTCAAACCTCGATGACGAACTTTGAAGAAAAAGTTTAGAACTCGAAAATGAACAATTAAATCAGGAATCTGTTCGTAGAAGAGTGGATATCAACACTCCGAATATTTCCCATAAACCTTAAACCCCCGATAAGAACGAAGCATTGTAAGTTTAAAGGATAGTTTTACAGGTGGAGGTTTTCTATATAGCATATATAAGAATGTAGCTGACCAACCGTCACTGTCTGGATCATGCTGACTGCACTTAAATATATTAGGCATTCCAAATGTACCCCCCTCAACCCTTGTCAGCAATTTCCATGTAATTGCCACTGTAGGCGTAAAAGATCTACGCACCTGCAATGCTCTGGCTGATAACGGCCTCAACTCAATAATCTCTTGGAAAGCTTGACGAGCCTGCTCCAACTCACCAACGAATTCGAAGGCCTGAGCTCTTATAAACTTCCACTCTAGCTGATCGGGTTCCAATTCTATGAGTTTGTCGATCACAGCATGTGCAGCATTTATCTCTCCTTTCTTCAAACGCATGTAAAGAAGAGCCTGTAGAGCTTTCAAGTCGTTCGGATGCCTCTCCAAATAGCTCCGAAGAAGAATCTCGGTTGGATCAGAGGTCAGGTCAGATCCCTCACCAAAAACCGGTTCAAAATCATCCGCCTTTTCTCCATTTTTCTCTGCGCTAACCTCGTCACCTTCCTCTCCACTGGTCTCCAATGCCCTGTCCTGTACTTCAACTTCGCCTTTCTCGTTCAATTTGGCCGTCACCGTCGGCTGATTTTCAACAATCTTAGCCATTGCGGGCTTGCAGAAGGAGAAGCAAAGACCTAAAGCCAGCAAACCCGAGGCGAGATAAAAGGCGACAATATTTTTGCTTTTCTTTTCTACCGCTTGAAATTGAACTACTTCCCAGTGCTCCGCTTCCAACTTCTTGGGGGACGAACCTTGCCTCACAGCTTCTCCTTCCGGAATGCGACTAACATGGACAGGCTCATCCCGTGCAAAGCCAGAATCGCCCTGTTGAGCCATGGAACCATTTCGGGGAGAAACAAGGCGCTTACAGCGGTCACCGCTGGATGAATTAAATCTTCTCTGAGAAAAAATCCCCGAATTCAAATGACGTGCGAAGAGACCAGAGAGCTGCTCCACGCGAGGGCGAGACCTCGTATGTGTTACACGGGAGCATTTCGCAGGGGAGAAAAAATCACAAGAGCCGCGTAGGCAGTGAGCTTTCACAGCCCCCAAATTCGCCATAGAATCCTACAGCCGTGACACTCTCGCGGGAGACTGACAGATTCCAGACTGTCGACAAAACCTCGACAGCAATTCCCTTCCAAGCGATGCTTCACTTCTTCTGCGGGCGAAATCCGCACGCTGACCAATGTCGGACTCGGAGACAGAATCTCTTTCATGCACACCTTTCTCACCGACTCATGCCGAAGGATGTTCTCGATGGCAATTGGATAGATGGCGGCATGGCGACGCCACGCCACGCTACGCAAGGCAACGCAAGGTAGCGCGAATCGTCGATGGCTTGCTCGCTGGTGGTCCCTCTGCCCTCGAAATGCGACGACTCCGGTCTTGCCGACTGCGACTGCGACTGGAAGCGACTGCGACTCGCGTTTGGCCCATTTGGAGTTGATGCATCGCTTCATCCCTTGGCCTGCCATCTTCTCTGGCCTCCTCACCACGACTCTTAAGTCCGGACCACAGTGGTCGCTTTCGCGGTCCGCGCAGTCGGACATAAACCCCTCGGCGTCGTTCGTCGTGACACGTCGGACAAGTCTCCGCAGAGTTCCCGGCGTTTTCGGCTATAAATTCCGCTGTTTTCTGCGTGGATTGAATGAGAAAAGGGGGCGCCTTCAATGCTGACAGGATGCTCCCTTGGAGGACTTCCTAATCATTGAGTCATTTTTCCGTAAAAGATTATAACGGCGACCCAAATTGCATTACTCTTGCATTATATTCTATAATTGTATGTATGTATATATATTATATAGTTCGAATGAAGGTTTTAGAATAATTAATGTACATATATATAATAACCCAAGAAATACAACATACAAATAGGAAAATCACATCAACTTACAAGGATGAAACCAAAATGGTGCTACTCTAAAGTAACATCACGATGCAAGCTAGAAATCATATAATTCATGAGCATCTATACCAGTAACTAATGGAATTCTTATGTTATGAATTCTACCAGCCAACTCTCTTTGACTAGCAATAGATACCGACGGTTTAAATAAGTTACACAATATGCTTCCAAATATGATACCTTTGTCATCTAGATCTGTAACTCACTCCATTATATGTGTTGAACTCCAATGGAGATAGCTTCAACTTTGAAGTAGTCAAGAGATGAGAATGATGCATAATAGAACTAAACTAAATATCACTATAACTGAAAACTATGTGAAACTAATCTGTTGAATGTAAAAGAGTTTTGAGTGATTGAATTTAACTTTCATATTGTTTGGCATATGTGCTTAAATTGCAATTTCAATATTGAAGTAGTTCTACATCCCAAACAATACTTTTTTTGTATACCTAATGAAGGTTTAAAATGATAGGTTTGAAGTTTGTACAAGGACTTATAACATCCTCCTTCGAAGTAACTAAAATGAAACTGATTCTGATATATACCCGCAAAACTTACATAAAGAAATAAATACTCTTTTTCCTCGTCATGTTGCATTAATGTCAGTCCAACTATCAATATCTGGTTATTTAAGATATGCAAGATGCTAACCTTATATTGACCTAAACAAGAGCTATTTTTGATCATTTTTCCAAGGCCAATTTCTTGAAATCATAAAATGTGCATGAGGTTGACATCGGTTGAGATAATCCATATGGTCGATAATAGAGGATCTTGGATCTAGAGCAGGTGTCACATGTTGTGATATAATTCTATACGGTATTTCACATTTTGAACTGTCAGAAGTCATTATATATCAGCTTTATAGTTTCTTTGTAACCAAAGTGTTTCGTCAATGCAGAGTTGTGTCGAGATTGGAGCATTCAGAATCGATATGGATCTTCAATATCACAAAGTAAACCTTGATAGTATAGCAATCCATCTTGGAATTAGATGTTGGATCAGCATCATGTGATTCAAAAACACGTGAACGATCTTGAAAGAGAGAGAGAATGGACCAGGGCAAGGCAAGACGATGTTCGGTGTGGCGTGCCGTGATTATAATTGTTATCTTTGTATCGATCTTTGTTCCTTTCTCGCCTCTCATAGTGATAGGAAAGTGGTTGATGTAGTTTGATACGAGGCTTGCGATTAGACAAATGAAGAAAGTAATTGCGTGGTTGGTCACCAAAATTTTGTATGATCGTAGAGCATTGATTGTCAGCTAGAACTGTCACACGGTCTAAAATTGAATGAATAGTCTTGATGATTCAGTTTCCAACAACACTTGATTTGTAGATTCACAGTGAAACATGCAAGAAAAACATTTGATTGCAATATGTCATACATTGCGTATCTTTGACTCTTGTTTTCAATTATGGTGAATCATGCCGAATACTTTGATCCCAAAGAGAACGATCATCTAATGACAAACTATGATGCTTACGGTCCACAAGCTATGGGATCTACTAGCCTTTAAGGTTTTTTTAGTATGGATGTTTCTTTCAATGAAGGCTAGATTATTGAAAGACAGGTAGAGTTTCTAGACTCTCCGTATTGACTAGGGAAACTTTTTGAACACCTCCACCACCATACACATGAGTGTATGATGTGGAGATGTTTGAACATTATGTGGTTATTGATCAAGTAGTAGCATTGATATTGGTGGAGTTTTTAATCACATGATTGAGTTAGTTAAGATTGAAGTTAAAGTCTGGTGATTGAGCTAGTCAAAATTGACCGTATACTCAATCCAACTGATGAGTTGGTCAAAGTTATTTTTTTGAAGAGTTTTAGTCAACATAGTGCGGCTATGTTGGTTGTGCATTCAACCTGTGCATGAAAGCACAGGTAGAATTTGCTAGCATAATATCTTCAGCTGAAGAAAGCCGAAGATTTTTCTTTATATAATTACTCTCTCGTGTGATGACTAGATTTATGTTATCTCTATGCTAGCTTGTTTTTAGCTACAATGATACGTAGAATTTTAGTTAAATACTGTATCTTGTTATGGCTACGAATTAGTTCTAATTGACTCTTGGGTAAAGAATAGCATTGTGTTAGGTTTCTGTTTAGAACAATCCGTAGAGTAATAATATAGATTACTTAGGTTACTATTTTCTTAACACAAGTTAAGGGGAAGATTGTTGAGCTTAACTCCGGTTAAGAAGTAACCTCAGCTCATAGCTAGAAGGTTTGCCATTGCTGGAGTATTTATATTCCAAGGTTTGTGTATTATCCGTCACACATGAGCATCCCGTCGTGGACGTAGTGCTTTGAAAGTATGAATCACATTACATTGGTGTCTTGCCTACTCGTTCTTGTGTTTTTCAGTTTACCTGTAACATATTATAACATGAATATTATGCTGAAAAATTTGATCATTATTACAATAAGTTAGATTACAAGATTTGGTATCATTAATATGATATTAACATGAATGTATTGAAATGAAAGAATTACAAAAAATTACATCTTACATGTTTTTTTATTTCGTTCATTTTTGGAATAAAAATTACTCTTTAATTTATAAATGAACCCTAATTTGTTCAAAAAGTTATTTGATATTTAAAATTCAATCACTAAAATTTTAAGTTGACAAATAAAGTATGATTTTTGCATTACAATTTAAAGAGTCGTCAACCGAGCGACAAACTTGACCATCGTCTTCTTAAACAATTTTTTGTGAGTAAGCATGTTCACAAGATAGCATACATGTTGGACCTGCCATCATCTATGAAAATTCATTGAATGTTTCATATTTCCTTGCTTGAATTATATAGAGAATCGACTATTCCAAAATAGTTGTGAGCATCTCTGCCACCAATCAAAATTAACGAAGAAGAAAAATTTGAAGTTTTTAAAATCATGACTCTCTCATTATCAATTGAAGAAGATTAAAATAACTTGTATATTGACAAGGCTATGATGGAAGCACGCAAAATTGGAAACCAACTACTAATTTTGCTACAACTTCCAAAATGATCAAAAAATTTCATCGTCAATAGCCAACAAAACCTAATGCCAACTACATTTGATCCAACACGTTTGAATTAACTCTAGCACTAAATCAAACTGCAATGATGTAAATATCACATGAACCCTGTGTAAACATATATTTATATATATATATATATATATATAATAACAACTCGTGTGATTCTCATTTGGAGGGAGGGGATGCTGTCACGGACAATGCAGATTTTGACCAAGAGAAAGTATATGCAAAGCTTTTTCAACAGAAAAGCAATAAGGACTTTATTTAAGAAGAAGGCGATGTAGACTTTCCCACTTTAGAACGCAATTGTAAGAGAAATATAAAGTCTTTATTTTTTATGCTTTGAGTGTTATTCTAAGTTTTGAGAGTTGAAGTTCACAACAAATTGTTTTAATACTCATGAACAAATGATTAGATTAAATTTCTAATCTAATCTAATCTAATCTTATTAGTTTAAGAAAACTCAAAGTTTTCAAGATGCAACATCATAAGCAATCAATGTACACATATTTGTTTCATTCTTGAATATGTTTAAATATTAAATTTTCAAATATAGATCCATTGGAAGAATTTTGTTAAGTCAAATAATATTATAAGCATTAGATAAATCTATATTTTTGCACCTCAAAATGCATTAATATGATCAAAATTTTGCAATAATGTAATAATAAAAAACTATTCAAAAAAAGTCTTGATTTGTAAACATGAGACCATAATAAAATATTTGAAAATAAACAATAATTTAGGATGCCAACATTTAGAACAAAAGTATTGCATAATAATAAGTTTTAACCATTACAATCAATAAAATATTATATAATATGAAAGAAAGAATAGTTTGATGTATCAATTTTGAGTACATACAAATATAAAATCAAATGCTTTGTACAACACTTTTATTTTAATATATTTATATTATTTATATATTAATTATAATCAAAAATCTGATTTAATTACACATGATAAAATTATGCATTTTATTTTTGAAAATCATAGATCAAAATCATACCATTATGAAAACTTTTGAAATGATACAAACATATTAGAAACATATTTTTAATCATTTGATCGCAATACATTGGTAATAAGATCATTACAATGATTACAAGTCTGATATTCTAACTTATAATAATAACGAGAGATTTGCTTGATGGGACCCCTGCGGAAAGTAATTTGCTTGATGGGAGCCTTCAGGTTTCATTTTACCTGATGGGATCCCATGAAGGATGCACCATCACCCATGTTCTAATAACAACTAGAGAGAGTGCAACGAATCAATTGCACCCGCGAACAGAGTGGACTTCGCACTACATCACACTCACTTGTTTTTATGTTGTCATTCTGTATCCGACCACTCCCTAGGAGACGAGCAAAATGTTCATCCGGAGTTTATTTGTTCGCCACAAATGGGTGATCGTGAGACTTGAGCTCGGACCACTTTCCGGTACGAGCTCCTCTTCGCATACGCAGGGTCACGGAAGGAGGGTGCAGGTGGGAGGCAATAGAGAAATCCGCGAATCGGTGCGATCGGAAGAATTGAAGCACAACAAATTGCACTTCGAGCAATATCGATCTTTGTTACCTTGATAATCCACCAGAAATTATAATCATTGATTGATCTCTGATTGTAATCCCCGCATTGTAACTAGTAGTAATTGTAGTTACAAGATCTATGTCCGACGGCACACTATCGTTGGGGTCCCATCGGGTAAAACTAAACCTGAGGTGTCATATCAAGCAAATTACTTTCCGCAAGTGTCTCATCAAGCAAATCTCTCTAATAATAACAGATAGATTTTTTAGTGTTATATCTACGGTTTAATATAAGACTAATATACCTTAAAAAACCCAAGTTCTTAAGAATTTATATATCAACAAATCACGTAGAAATGTTTTTTTATCATTGATAAGTTGTTAAAAACAATATTTCTAGATAAAAAATAGTTAATAAGATTTACCAAATTGAAAGTGTTAGGATTCTTTCATGTCTGGTTTATTTGTGGATTATTGTTTAAAAATTTACTTAAGTAGACAAGATCTAGCTTGGCACCTCGAACACTACAATAATTGTTTCCATAAAATATCGCAATAAAAAATTTCTCTTATGTGGTATTCTCATGGAAAAAAAATATTTAATAAATTTTTTTCTTAAAATAAAATTTTAAAATATTTAATGAATATTATAAAGATTTATAAGTACAAATGTGAATAATAAATAATAAAGAACATATATTATGTAATATCAAAATGCTCAAGAATAATTCAGATAATTTTATTTATTTTATTAATCACTATTTACATAATATTTCTTGAGAGATTTGTTTGATGGGACCCCATCCAAAGTTAAATTGCTTGATGAGAAACTATTCTAGTATGAACAGAATAGGGTGTGTGAATCAGATTTCGTGTTACCTTCGTGGTACTTCGTTTCGCCATTCGCATCGCTGCATAGAGTCTGGCCCTGTTGAACCACTTTCTTGGGAATAATAGGAAAATAAAAGGGGATAATGAAAAAATAACTCGGTGCGCTGATGGCATCAAAAGTAAGAAAGTTCAGTTTGTATGCTTGCTAGACCGAGCTCTGTCTTCTGAACAATTTAGCTTCGGGCGCCTAATTTTATTCTCATCAAGCAAATATCTCAATATTTCTCATGAAAAACTGTTATAAATCCTAGGATTGTGATTTTTTGAAGAATCATAGATATTATATTTTTATGCAATGAAAGCTTAAGCATATTAAATTTGGAGAAATTTAAAAGATACATTCATTTGTATGTGTAGACCTTTTAAGTAACAAGTCAAAGTTTATCATTCAAATTACCTAATGATAAAAACAGAGTAAAGCAAAGAGATGTGTAGGATTTTGATTTAGAGTTTTCAAAAATAGAATAGGTAAATCTATTCTTTTCAATAAGTGCAATCGATTGAGGGTAGAAGTAAATATCAGAAGAGATGGAATTAACTAATAAAAAATAAAAATAAAACAAGAAATCAAACATTGAATGATTGGCTAACGTTAATGCAGGGATGTACTGAAGATCTATGTGCATCAAAACATCATGAGTATGTGACAAAGTTTTTACACTTCACTCTAGTGAAAACAAGCTTAATCCTCATAAAGATTTCACAATAATATTCTACCTATCTAAAGCAATATTCTAAAGCAAAAAGTAGAAGTCTATTTTAATGGATTGGTGAGTTCTCTAATTGAAAAATTCATCAATGAGCATGCTTCATCGATGAAGCATGCTTAAGCATGGAATATTGTGGTTTTCTTTTCGTCAAACAATATAAGTAATAAAAATCCATGAACTTTGATACAGTTTGTTACTATTTGATGATGATCAACGCGAAGTACCTCATTTTCTTTGCAACATCACTTTGTGCACTGCTAGAATTCTTCGCAAAACTCCTAACAAGAACTGTTGTGCATGATTTACTTCGTTCCAATGCATCATTTGCCTTATACCGTCGCATTATGTACCAAATCACAATTTCTTCACTTCGTTCTGAACCTTTACAGATCATTTTCATTGAGTTTCACATACAGAACTCGGCGTTCAAGTTTATTATCGGAAAATGTGCGTGTGTGTACCTTTGCATAAAACAAGAAGTAACTTGGAACAATATAATATCTAGATTTTCCTACGACATATTTAGAGTATCAATAAGACATCCTTCATATCATGGACTATGTCGAATCTTACAGAGAGACTTTCCAATTCTACATATGTAAAAGGAAGTTTCTCACCACAAACATCATTCCGCAGAGAGTGAATATGTGAGGAAAACTCCGACGATGTACTCTTTCCTGCAAACAATTAGGTTCCTACTATACGTACATATTTATCATCTCGATGCGAAAGAAGGTTCTTTATGTTACAATATATTCGTGAAAGAGTTTTTTGCCTCAATGAAAAGTGCCCTAGTTCCATCTTTTTTGTGACAAAAACAAAATTAACTTCCTGTGCATCCAACCTCAAACCCAAATACCCACATACTAGCACAACTGTAATGGAAGGATCATACACGCCAGGCAGTTCGGAGTCTTATATCAGCGTATCTGCTTTAGTATTCATGGTCTCACTGCTACATCTGCACATCATTTTCAGTGGCACAACGCGTGGCATTTCCGTCACCGCTATAAAAATAGCAGGTAAGTGGCAAGGATGCTGTGGCTCGAGTCTAGATACTATCCAATACGTTGTAATCAAGAAGAAGCAGAACTCCCTACACCAAAAACCTGTTGCCACTTTGCCCACGCAAAATTACCCACGTTAAATTACCTCGTGCGGTTGAATAATTCAAGTCTGTTTCTTCACCGCTTCTTTCTTTTCTTCTCCAACAATGCAAGAAAGTTTGCAACAGAGCCAGCCAATTCGAAGTTGAAAACTTATTGAAATAAAACGGGCAGCCGAGAGAACATTTCATACATTTCGTGAAGAGCAGTTTCCAGTACACCGTTTGAACCCGTTGGACAACGGGTTCAAACGGGTACTGGAAACGGTTACAAGACCTCGTAGCGGGACACCGGTACTGTGATAAGACAAAGGAGGATGAATGTGACGGGAAAACAGCTCCAGTATAATATTACTTGGACGAAACAAATGTAGAAATGCAGACTTTCATGAGATTTAGACAAATATTTTGGGCAAACCTTGCTTCGCCGATTGCGATATTATAAGAAGCTGAAGAAGGATAGGAAGTCTAAGACAAAATTATTCATCCATGTGAAGAAGGACTTAAATCATGAATAATATACAGCTTTACTACTTTGTTCGGCTGGAAAGAGGTAAAGATGGTCAGACCTGGAATCCAACTTCAATATGAAGACTCGGCTGACTCAGACGTTATGAGGAGTAAGACAAAAATATCAAGCAGTGACATAAACTTCGAACGACGAGAAACACTGGGTAAGTGCTTTCATCATACAAAGTTCGATTGGTACCCCACGATAAGCAACGCACAATGATATATAGGTCAAAATACAGCACAAGCCGACTGTCCTGCTCCTCGTCTTACATGGATAACGGTATCAAGCACATATACAATCCACGATACCGATTTGCAAGATCCACCATACCCACAGTTCTCTCGACGACCAATGAACGATAAACAGAATTAGGCCTGAGCAGTGACGCCAAAGAGTTGCTTTCGGATCTGCAAAATCCAAGGTACGGTCCACAAGGTGATTTAGCTGAAAGAAATCTGTACTCGAGGCAGGAGACTCCACTGCCCTGCTATTGAGTAAATAAACCCATCAATGCTTCAATTTCTAACGTCTCAAAATAGGAAACTGAATCACATCTAAGTAAGTGACACACTCCACAAGCTACACCGAAAGAAATCTTCTCAAGGAGAAGAATAAAAAAGAGGTGAAGTTTGCTCATGCCTAATCGATGTAACCAGCTACACTTTGTAACTGTTGATAGGCAATGGAAAATAAACACCTGTAGGAAGTCCTAGACTTATCGGTGGTAGAATTTACCTCTGGGAGATTCTGCTTGAAAGAAATCTCCAATCTTGCGTCTAATGTGTTTTCACACACTATACGTCCATCCCGTGACGCCAACACAACTCCACCAGTGCTGCCAGCGTAGAATAGTCACCAGTTTGGGAAGTAAGTTAAAGAAGAAAGTCCAGTACCTCATTTTCAAGATCACGAAGGTGTCATCCATAACGAACAAGACAAGAATATAAAACATAAAATGAAAACACAATTTTCCATCAATCGAAGAACAGCGACTTCACAGATGCCAAAAGTGTGACCTCAATTAATAAGGACAAACAAAAATTGCAATCAAAGCTCCAACATCGTGGCCGAAATTTTCAACCGATGATCTTACCAAAAAGGACCGGGCTTGCCCGCTTCAGGGGGCCCAGGGAGAAACTTTTGATTATCTACAACAACTTCGCATGCGTCAACTTTCGCCTTCGAGCGGTACTGTTGCTTTGCATGTTCGAGTACCCGCTCCACCAATTCAAAGTCCCTTTCTCTACATCGCAACTGCACTGAAGGCTCCCTCAACCTAGACAAGCCCTGTATCAAGTATAGTCAGTTATTACCCTCCTTGAACTACATACGTTTGTTCTGTTGTCCTTTACCTCAAAACACCTTCTAAGTCTAGGCCGGTTCGGACTTAGCATTCTGTGAGTTCCATCCACAAAAGACAGGAGCTCAGAAATGTGCGAGAAAGAAAAATGACTTGCACCTAAAGAATAGCGATAAAAAGTAGGTATCAGAATTACTTCCAACTTTCAATGCACCAGATGGACTCATGTAGTCATAAGAGGAATGCACCTGCACAATGAGGTCTTTCAAAAGACGAGAATAACTTTCGTGATGGTGGCTAACGGTGATAAGCTGCTTCTCTGCGGCAGCCTTCATGGACCGCACAAGGTCATCTTGGGCTTGCAGTACCTTCAAACGTGATGCATTCAGCTGCGTCGAGTACTCTCTGTAGATTAATCAAGAATAACGATGAGAGCCTGGACTTGGAGCTCAAACTACCAGATGAAGTTCCCTGGCCAGTAAGGCACTCAAACAATCCAGGGTATCACGCCGCCCAGCGCATTTTGTTCGAAATCAGAACAAACTCCTCATCATTTTAGCACTTGCTAACTTATCAACAAGCTGGGTCAACTCATCGTCGGAGTAGTTGACTGGCTACCGACAGCGTGCATACAGTCAGCCATACAACTTCAAACCAACCCGTCAAATATTTAAGCAGTTCACTCCTTCTAGTCGACAGGAGACAATGTCAGAAGCATTCACTATGCAATAACAAAGTCACCAGGCTTGTGGCTATTGAGCCTAGAGAGACGAAATTCAGGCACGCTGCCTAGCTCGAGCTACTGATATCCCTAACAAAACGAGTTCGCTACAAGCCCATAACAAAGGAAAGTGTCAAGCGCATTCTACAAAACGAATATTGATTACCAGAACTATATCCAACGTGGTGAAAAGATCCGCATATCTTCACTCCGACGACGACCAAAGAAAACTGTCAAGTACTTCCGGATCCCATTCTACACACGAAATTGCTAGCTGAAGGACCAAATCGAGCAGCTAGTACCACACGACCAGAGAGCAATAAACTACACAAGAGCAAAACCTTTACGTTCCTCGCTTCATTCAACACATAAGTCAAGTTACTGGAGAGCTAGAAAATTAATTTGTCCAGCCCAATTTCCCGATTAGGAGGTAGATTCATACATTTTCTTGCGCACTTCGACTTGTTTTTCTTTGCGTTCGTACTCCTGTCGAATCTTCTTTTTTTCAGCCTCAACCAGCTGCAGCTTCTCTATGTTGAATTCCTGCATGGTTGGACAAAGCCCCCAGACGACGTATTATTTTTTTATGAGGTTGTCACGGGATCGAAGGCTTTCATCATATTGATTGAACCCAATATGGACCCCACGGGCACTCAATGTTTTAAGGCTCATTATTGCAAAGTAGGCCGAAAGCCGAGAACAGAAGAGAGAAAAAAGACGGGAAAAGTGCTGTTTACTCTATGTTAACCAAACATCCTCTGCCAACGAGTTGCTTTCACGCTGTCCTATCACTAAACAGTTTCCAATGGTGAGTAAATACGGGATGAAAAAATACTGAATTGTGTTAGGCAGGATGCCAACAAACTGCACATTTATATCACGAAGAAGTCAGTGCAGCAATGTCCTTCAACTCTACTCGGAGTTCAAACCTGACTAAAACTCAGCCAACATGAAACTCCACGATTCTACGAAAAAAGGGTTTTCCATATGACTTCATACGCCACACCAACAGTATTGAGAAGTACCTCTTCAGCAGACACAGCAATTTCATTGGCCTTTTCCTCGGCTTCTTGCCGAATGAAATGGACCATCTGCTGGACCTGCCTGGATACTTCTGAGTCGTTCATTTTCGCTAATCTGCAAATTAACAGAGCCAATGCGCACTTCAGAACACAAGACGGTACAGCTACCAGATCCAATTATTGACGCTGGGAACAACGCTCATACTTTCAGCCCGCTCCGTCCAGTAGACAGAGCAAAAAAGTACTACTTTCCAGCTTAAACTCAATTTCCCAGCGACTAAAACGAAACAGAGCCATAGACCTACTCGATCGATCTCAAAGATCATCACATACGAATCTCAAATAAAATACACGGGTCTGAACCAAACTTCCCACCAATCTCACGACACGCAAACCTCGAATAGTCGCGAGAAACCAGCCATTCCACCGATCTGGCAAACACAAGATCCGCATCAAACACACTCGCGCACAGAGACACACACACACCTGGGGTACACGCTGAATCTCCCTTTGACGTAAGAAATCGATCGATGAAGGACGCGAGGGACGAGAGACAGCGCTCTGCTGCTGCCGGAAGAGTCACACTGAGAGAGGCGAGACAGTGCGAGCTCTTTCCAGAAGATTAGCTCCGCTCTTCCTTTTTGGCCCGCTCTGCTCTCTGCCAGCGAGGGCCCAGGCCCAGGCCCCGAACGCTCCCCACCCCCGCGGTCAGTTACGCGCGGTTCAGACCGCGCGGTTCAGCCTGGAAAGCTCGCCAGCGACTCGCGGTCCACGTGGTGAACGCAGTTGCTTCACGCCAGCGACGTCTGGGTCAGACTCGCAGCTTTCAGTCAGGCGGCATCAGTTAGCAACACCTGGCTTTCCACTAATTAATTATTCCGCAGTCCGACGCGCCTTCTTGTCCACGTCCTCTGAAGGAGAAACTCCTGCGACTCACGAAGCTCTGCTGCTCTCTTCGCGGCGCGGCAGGCAAGCGAGCAAGCACCGTCGCATAACGACGAGGGACCCGGGAATATGCTTCCAATTATTTATAATCCCTTTCACGATTTTCTGACTTTCTTTTCTGGCCAGGAGACGCCTCTTCTCGCCTCTATGGAACCCCACCAAGAGACAAAGAAAAAGGCCAAGCGAGACGAAGTGCGGCAGTCTTCTGCTACCTATGGTTTATTTGAATGTTTTAGAGCTCGTCATGTGAAAAAATGGATTTTGGATGTCGTTTAATCTCCCTTTCCGGATACGGTCTCATTTAAAAAAATTTGGTCTTTTAATAGCTAATCGATGTTTGTAACGAGTAATACAAAAAAGTATGGCTTTATAATTTTCTCAAAAAAATGTATACAAACGAGTTTATCAATTTTTACCACGTTCTTTGGTGTCGTTGAGTTTATGGTGGTTTTTTCAGTGAATGAGTCTTCAATTGATATAATTTCGCGGCCGCAGGGAAAGGAGAAGGAAACGATTCGGGTTTATGTCTGAATAAAAAATATTTGAGACGACCTCACCATCCCGAATGGCACGCCCAGGTCGAAGTTTTATAAACTTTGTCCACAGATCATGAAGCAAAGAGAAAAATGTGCATTCATGTGGAGCCAAAAGGACAGCTCATGTTTTAACTCTAGTGATCTTTCAATAGAAAGATCTCGTTCTTGGCTTCGAGTGAGCCATGATTAGACCAGATTATCATTTCTATTTTTCTTTATTTTTCCCTTTCTTAATGCTTAGACGAGGATTTGAGTCAACTCGGTCTTATCTCGGAAAAGGCAAAAAATTTAGTCCCGGCAACACCCTTTGAACGTAATCATTGGGTATCAACATATTGCGTAGTTGCATAAACCAGATAAAAGGAGACTGTAATCATCCCCAGCATAAGACTTCAGTAAAATAGAGGCAGAACAAGCTCAGGTTTTAGTCCCGAATTATATGCTTTCATGTGAGAAGATTCGGGTTAATTATCTACACGCTGGCTGGGAAATTGATAATTGGGCTTCATCTTTGTTGCCAAGTGTGATGTCATGAAACGGCTGTGACTTTGAGTTATAATAAGACTCCCGCCTTCGTCTCCCGGAACCTCATGTAGGAATGGTGAAACTTCAAGGATTCGAAGATACAACCACATGCACAAATGATTAGAAATACAAGGTCCATGGTGAGGTATCAATATTTCGTATGAGGTTTTACGTCAAAGGCAGAGAGATCCATGGACTACTTTTCTGTTCGAAATTGAAGATGTGGACGTATCACTCTCCTAACTGTCTTCTTCCTGGAAATGTCAAAAAGTGTCGAGGAACAAGGCCAAGAAAAGACTTGATCGAATGGAAAGGTTATCCTCAAATAGCGACAGAATAATCGAAGTAGCAAATGCGACGGAAGTTCGTACGACTTTGCAAGACCCATCAAAGAAAACCTCGAGGGCCCGGCCAACACGAGGACAGTCGGAAATTATTCGAGCACTGGATCGCACGACGGGGGATTGGATTGGACCAAGTAAACGGCTGGAATGTAGTGCAGTGTAGGCGTTTAGACCATGTGCTATCATTGCGTGGTAAGTCTGCATTGACACATGTTGCGCAAAAGTGAGAACGAGGAATTGGCAAGAAAGTTGACCGCAGGCAGAATGAGGGAATCAGGTTCATCGGCGCAGGTTTGAATGTGCACTGGGCTCTCGCCCAAGTCTGGCAATGAACGGACAGAAGCATCGGGTAGAGCTGAGGTTCTGAGAATGGACTGACTGCAGACTGGATGAAGGATTGTTGGCGGTGCTCCGGAGTCTGATATTACCAGCAGCTGCCTGTCTTGGTGACAACCGCATCGATGTCCCCTGAGGTGTCCCCAAGGCCTGCTCAGTCTGCTTTAGCGCACATGAAGACGAGCTTCGAGTATGATGCTCGCTTATGATCATCACGACTCCAGACGGATGCCGAGGGAGGAACTTTCGTTGTTTTTGCAGATGCGGAGATTTGCCTTTTGCACCCGTCTTTACCTCGGCGCTTGTGGTGTTTAGCTCGTCGGTGGGGACGCAGGTCATAAAGTGATCAAATACAAAGGTTTCATATCGCCTTCTCAGCACGTTGTTGTCCCTCGGGTACTTTTTGTTCGAAAGTTGCGAGCAGGAGCCATGACGGAGGCAAGCTACACAATCCCGCCCCTTCGTTGTGATTTGTAGATCAAATTTTCTTCCATCAAGTGGGTCAGAGCATATTTACTTCGAAATCGTTGCTAGGTTTCCAGGGTTTTCACGCAGGAGTAAAGTTCGTAACGGGACTCTACCCGGTGGGGTTCCTGAAGTAATCATGAGTTCCAAATCTTGAAGGATGCTTAGAGATAATCGAGGGACATTGTGGTTCGCCAATCCGAAGACTGCTTAGAATTGAGGATGACATTTGTGAATTGTCGTTTAACATTTCCTTTTTGTCATTTCGGCTGCCCAAGACTTGTACAAAGAGATGAGTAGTAGCTGACTTTCAAGTGTTCGGTGTGACTAACGAATAACAAATTGTGAGAAAATTTTTATATCAAAGTTTTACTTGATGTAATACTGACGGAGCTGATACCTTCTGCTACCTTTTCTGATTCCACCAATAAAACGGTACTGAATGTTTTGTTTGTTAACTGCAGTACTGGGTGAGTCAAGGTAATAAGTGGTGTGATTACTGTAAGATATACATTGCGAACAACTCCACGAGCATTCGAACTCACGAATTCGGCCAGCGGCACAAGGAAAACGTCGCCAAAAAGCTTACGGCTATAAGAAAAGATAATGCTGTTAAAGAGAAGGAGAAGCTGCAAGCTGCGAAAGACCTGGAGAAAATTGAAGCGGTAAGGGAGTTCAATTTTTTTGGTGACCAAATTATTGAGTGAATGGAATGCGTAAATTTATGAGAGTGTTGTGTGGAAATCATCAAACATCTGAGATTGGAGTATGCTTGCAACTCGGACGCTGGCACTGCATGTAAAATGTGAGAGCTGTCTTAGAAGAATTCAATTTGCATGACGGAGATCACCGCAGTCGGTTTGGAGGTTTCTTTTTGGTGTTGAAGTGAACAATGGACAAGTACATTTGTAAACCTGCACTGTGAATTCTCAGTCAAAGTTCCTGTTGTGTTCTTCTCGAAGACTGGTCATTATATTTCCGTTCACTAGATATAGAAGATCATCCAATTTGATGTTTCACCCAAAAATTGATGTATTGAACTTGGAAAGTCATCAGGAGTTGGAAACATGGTTCCGCCAATTCCAGCATGAGAACGAACAACTAGCTCCGCTGCGGTAAACTGGTGTGTCTTCATGACTTCCGCACGTTAACTGTTAGTAGTGGAAAGGAGAGGAAGTTGAAGGAAGAAACTGCAACTTTGTCCCGTCAAGTAGATGGTGGTCATGAAAATCGCGTAGAAAAGTGTTGTTGGTCTCTTGCAGTGGATTGATGGTAGCTACATGCCAACTTGAGGTTGGCCAGTCAACCTAATTGGTTCCTCCATATTAGTTGAAGTCCTGGATGTTTTGCATGTACTTTTGTTCCCTCGAACCGGTCAAAGATTTTCCGTGCTGGCAGTGATAATCTCGGTTTGTCCTGTGAACAGCAAGCACGGAAGAGTTATGAAAGAGACCTTGCGGCCATTCGAAGGGCAGATGTAGCTGCTGAAATATCTCATGTTACTGTAGAAGCAGAGGTCCGACCAGCTGCAAATGTAGGGACATCTGAAGTTGCGGCCGTCAATGATTCTTCTGGAGTAAGCAGCGCGACCTCTGAGAATGGTCAGCACTGCCTCTTAGCCTCATTTCTTCTAACAAAGTCTTGACCTAACTCATTTTGGTTACATTGTTATTGTTACAGGATATGCAAATATTTTTACCTTTATGCCACTAAATCATGAACTTTTTTGGTGATGTGAGTGCAGAATGGACATTTGATGAAGCAACGGGTTATCATTTCAATGCTGCAACAGGGTATTTCTACGATCCCAATTCCGGCCTATATTATAGCGACATTTTGGGTATGTACACCTTTTTGTCGCGCACATTGTCTTTAACCTTTATTCTTATTTTCTATCCCATATTTTCCGTTAATCGTTGCACCAGAATTCATTGTTCCTTCCCTTTCTATGCAGGAAAATGGACAACCCAAGAAGAGGCGTTAAAAGCGTCTCAGGATGGAAAAACAGCAAGTGACGGAGATACTGTGAAGGGATTGAGAAGCTTTTCAAATTCAGCGCCTCAAATTATCCAGGCAGATTACCAAAGTCAAGCTGTATCGAGCGTCACGACGAAGAAAAGCAGAGATGCTGCATCTTTGTCATCTGCTGGCAAGGAAACCAGTGCCCTTGTTGGACCTGTTGTGAAGAAACAAGAACCAGTTGGTGTGGGCAAAGGGGTAGCATCTTCCTTAGAGGTAGGCAAGAGGAAGAGGGAGGAGAAAAGAGGGCCAATTTCTGGTGAAGAGGCTGCCGCACTAGCTGCTAGAGAAGCTGCGAGGAAAAGGACGCAAGAACGAGAAAAATCATTGCTGGGTCTCTATCAGGCTTACTAGTATTGTGTCAACCTTTCAGACACTTTTCTCAAGTTTTCATGTTGCCTTTTTTGTACCTTCTCGCCCAAGGAACCTTGGGGGCAGTTAGGAGGGGATATGCTTTCCAGTTTGAACGGCCAGGTCTTTCTGTCACGTTTGTGGTGACTTCGGCCTTGTTCTAGTGGATGACCATATCTTGTTGTAGGATCCTTAGTATCAAGAAGACAGCAAGCAAAGATTGCACGTAGATTGAAATGCAACCCGCGATTTGGTGCAGTCGACAGTCTTGGAGGTTTTTGGCCTGAAAGAAAATCTTATGCGAGCTCACTTTCGACTGAAGAATAGGATAGTAATTACGATTATCACTTCAATTTTACCTTCGAAGGAGTGACTGTGGAGTTTGGATATGGCTTCACGAACGTCGGTTCTCAAATTCGTTTATAGACGATAGATATCGTCATCGTTTTCAAGCCTGTTCATTTTGCTCTATATCGATGCCAACAACTATGGGCCAAATGGCCTCTGTTGAACATGTGTTTCTTCTTCCGAAGGTATATTTTCTTAGTCAGTGCTCAGTTTGATAGGCAGTGGCTTTACTCAGTTTGTCTAGTAGCATTAGTATTATTCTTCCGGAGAGTTGGTCCAATGCCGAACTCAGCAGGGGACGAGGGTGGCTCTTTAGAAAGATCAGGCAGAGTATCTCCAGCATTGCATTCTAAATGTGAGGTATTCCTCGAGTTATTATAGGTCAATGTATTCATATGATGTTGCTATGTATGTCTATCTCTCATTAATATGCCCGAATGAAAGACTCCCACCGCAAGGACTTTTAGGCCTAGCAGAAGCCCATGTTTCTTTGAATTCTGTTCTTTTTAGATGTTTTGTCACCGAGTTTTTAGAGTTTATTGATTCCTAATTCAAATTAATCATTTATACTTATATTATTCGATTGGATCCTTATGCGCCCTTGCAGTCACTACATCCCCTGCAGTGCATTGTGGAGGCAGCCTGGTCCTGAGCCCATCATCCACTTCTTAGGATCTCGGGCTGGGCATATGGTAGGCAGCTCCCCACCATGGAACGAGGCCTGGCAGGACACTTTGTCTGAGACAGGCCACGGTGCTGTCATTTGAGAGCTGGGAGCTCAAATATTGTAAGTTGGTTGTCGAGGTCACACTTGGTGTGAAATGTACATACCTTGAATTTAACTGAAATTTCGAATCCTGAAAGAGCTGGACGTAGTTTCTATTTCAGCTATACTTCCATTATTGTGTTCAAAGTATAAACCTTTCATTTCAATCGTGACCTGTTCCATGCATTACATCCGCTGCACTACCCTAGAAGTAGTCAAGTTACACACCCGAGGGACATGCCTGATATGTGTGCCAAGCTTGAGATCCGAATATAGTACCTGAACACTGCCAGGTAACTGAGTTGGAATTGTTCGCTTACTGATAATTTATGTGTTGTAAGTAACTCATGACCCTTGCAGTATGGACCACCGGGCATCTATGATATGAGAACATTCAAATGGGATGGAAATAATATTAGGAGACAATTCTCGCCCCCATGATAGCATTGCTATGAAGTACACTCACGTGAACTATGTTTGATGAGACCTATCTGTTCTCAACTCGGAATCTTGTTAATCTGGTATCAATGAGTAGAAATTGCAGTTCTTATACTTTACAAGGTTCAGATAATATGCTATGCTTATGGTTATGCTCAAAGCATACATGCTTTGAGGGCGGAAAGGGATGAGAAGATTTACCCGAGACAGTTCACAACCTATTGTGATGTGTATGATCACAACCATGAAATGAAATACTCGATTGATGAAATACTTGTACTCCTGGTTTAATCAAGAATATCGGGTATCTCTTACAGTCCACTCTACCATACTAAGCACTCGGACGTTTAACGAAGCAATATACTTAAAAAATGTAATGTTTATAAGCCTCTGATGAGAAAAAATTTAAGGCACTTTGCATCTACCAAAGTTAAGGAATGTCCAAACAAAGTAGATAGTGATCAATATAATATGGATTGTTGAAATATTCTTCCAAGAAACTTTCCTTTTCAACTAGCTTGCGAGATTGATCTCTTTATTAGATTTGTGTGGAATAATTCAATATGATTAATAAAAAATGCATTGCCATTTATCCTCTCAAATCTGATATAAATTTTATTTCAAATGAAAGTTTAGATTCTGAAAATGAGATTTTGAATCTGAATGGAGAAATAATATTCTAGCATTTATAGTAAATGACATGCTCATTTTAGAGAAAAATTAGTTTTGTCTATAGATTCAAGAACTAGATAAAGTCTATAAAAAATTTAGATTAATCAAGAGTATATTATGGATAGATGTTCGTTGAGATTTGAATAAGGAAAGAGCATGGTTGAATCAAGACAAATACTTTTAGTGGGTGTCAAAGTGTGTTTAGACAAGTTTATCATGGCAGATTTTACAGTGATATATATGCCTTTGATAACATATTTCAAAATTTTTGCAGTTCAATGATAAATCTATGATATTGAAAAGTAAAGTAAGAAAATTATGGACAAGGTCTTGTATTTAATGTTGTGCACAATACATAGTATTACTATGGACAAAAAGAATATGTACATAACAAATCCAAGAGATGTGCATTGAGAATTAGTGAATGGTTCGTAGATATTTATAGAGTACTAAATATTATGATAAATTTTCCTGTAATGATTTATTAACCTATCCTAGATGTTGCTAGATTACTTTGATGTTACATATGGACATGATCTAAAGAATAGAAAATCTAAAAATATATATATATATATATACATACATACAAACACATTTGGTGATGGATGCATTAGTTGTAAATTTATTTTTCAAAAATATTTAGTTGAATTCACAACGGAAGCTAAATATGTAATAACACTAGAAACAACAAAAAATCTATTTGATTGAATAGTATTATCATGGAGATATAATTGAATTATGAATTTGACAATCTGCATTATGATAGTCAAAATGCATTACATCTTGTTGAAAATCAAATGATGTATAGCAAGATGAAATATATTGACATTAAATATCACTTTAAAGATATATTATTTTTGATAAAAATCTCATATCAAGATTGAAGATAAATTTAATCAAGATAATGCATTGATGACTTTATTTCTTTGAAAAGTAGAAAGAGACATTGTGTTATTATGAAAATTTTGCATGAGGAGCACAAGTAAAATATATTTATAATTTTGATTACCTTTATATATTTTTATTACATCATATTTTGATTATGATTTAGTTTAAGTTAACTCTAGTTTAAAGATTGTAATTTTTTTATATTTGTTTCTAAAATTTACCATTTATTAATAATATACATTTTGGAGATCATTATCCCCAAAACATGAATTAAAGAGAGATTCTTAGTGACAACTCAAGTCTGAAGGTAAACCTATAATCCGGGTGTAGGGTTTATGCTTCGGATGACACGATGAGCTACATGTAGCTCGACCCGAAAATTATCTCTGGTTGTTTGAATAACTCTTAATATTCTATAGTGGACCTAGCCAAAGACTGACCAAGTATTTGTTGAGTGTGGTTTTACACACTAAATATTCTAATAAATATCACTTGGAGTATTTTTTATACAATGATAGAATCTAATGTATGATAACTAGCTCACATATGAATTAATCTCTAACAGAAGTATGATTAATTAATTACATACTATGGAAAAAGTCATTAGTTATATATTAAGTTATAGTTAATAAGAGTATTAGGGTGTTTTCTTTACATAGACTAAATGATATGAAGCATATTTGTTTCACTCTTTTGTCAATGATTTTTTTCTCCGTTTTATTCTGTTGGTTTCATCTTCTAGTTAACTATTGTTTACATTGGGTAAAGATTGTTAAAAGTTCATGATTAATCATACTTCCAATGATTAGATTACAATTAACATTACCATGTAAGAGGTAGAGTAGAATTTGTGTGTTGTTACCCTGAACTTAGTTCCATGAACCTGAAATATTTGTCTCCTTACTTGCATTTCTTTACACAATCATGTTATGCTATGTAAAAATATAACCATTCAATTTCATTCTTCACATAATTTACATAGACACATAGAGAATAATGTCCAAAGAATTTTAGTCTGGAAATATTTCTAAATTTTTACTCAAATGCGAAATTATCATGACAATAATTGATAAGTACAACCCAACATGTGATATCTTGATGATCGGAGTAACCCAAATCTCATGAAGATGGTAAATATGTATTATTGCATTTAAAAAGTTAAATCATTTTCATACATGACATAGTTGTTGATCATTTCGAGAATCATCACATATACAACGCTCTTGGAATTTCTGCTAAGTGAGAGCACTTAAAAATATCAAATATATAGACAATTATATCTATTAAGCAATGCCTACAGTTTCTCATATCAATAATATATTTCCTCTGAGTCATGCACTCTCCCGTTAACTTCCGGAGTAATAGAAGCTAAATGAAACCAACGAACTCAATAAGGAAGGAACAAAGAAGTCTTTACTTGACGCTCCATTAACCTCCCATCATGAGAAGGGAACCTAGTAGAGCGGTTAACTTGGTTACATGTGTTAAACTAACCACAATGTATTACCTGGTAAATAGAGTACGCTTGTAGCCTGGCGAGCAATTACAATCCGTCTGACCTCACGATATAAGGAAACTTTCACGACAATGTCAACTCACTCAGTGCCAGATGGCGTTCAAGCCGCTGCGCCAACATTCCCGCACTGGAGCTTCTGCTCCTGCGAATCTCATCATGCTGGTCGAGATGATCGGGATGTTGTATGGGATTTCGATATCGTCGAATTGAAGCGAAAGTCGGGAGTTGCTAATCGATGGTGGATCAGATTGAGTAGATTACTATTAGTCGATTCTCGTCACATTGTCGGACTGGAGTCAGCCTTATTCCTTCATGTACTACAGTATTCCATGAAATGTGAGAAACTATTTCCTACACTGATGCACGGTCGAATTCCGGTGAGAGGCCGACTGAGAGCCAGGATTCAATAACCCAGGCTATGTCGTCGATGCTGTCCAAGCATGATTGCAACGCCTGTCGAAATCTTCTCGCAACTTGTGAGCAGCTGGAATCACCTTTGAATGTGCGCCATTGCTGCCCAAGAACGATCGGGCTGGGGAGGATACAACTACTTTCAGAACATGAGAAATGTACGTGCTTTGCTATGCAGCCTGCACAACGACGAGAGAGGGACGGATGAAGAAGCGAATTTCATGATCGGCTCGAGGAATTCTCTCCAACTGGACTCCGTCGCAGCACAGGCCAAGCACCTGCAATGGTAAGTCCGCACCCTTCGAGTAGCGGGCGAGAAGGCCAACCTTGAATGCGATTCTGCGATCTGGTTTGAAGGACGGGGAAATTCTTCAAACACGGAAGTTGGACCGGCATCACATCACAGCTCTGCAAACCGTGGCCTCATCTTGCTGAGCTGCGGACAACCTGTACTGTACTCCAGGAGATTGCCATGCGCCTCTAGACGTGCGTCTGCAACTGTTACGAAATGATATTCACGTCACAGTATAGACTAAATTTCACCCCTCCTCGCCACAAACTTATGTCACGGGCACTATTTGGGAGCAATCTGCGGCTCATCTGACCCAATCGGGGAGACCGACGCTCTGTTGAAAACTGTCATGACGTTTATGATGCAACGATCCTCAGAGGTCTACGCAAATGAGGTCTCCGAGTGAACTCCCGAAGCTTATACCGTCATGGCACACGCTGGCGAAGTCGTCGTAGTATAATTCGGACATGGACATGGATGCAAGGCATGGCGGGGTCCACAGCCTGCTCGCGGTGAAACCAGGTGGACGATAAATAGAACCAAGACCGTGCGGAGGGATGGCACTCTCAGTAAACAGCAGCATGTCCTGCCTAATTTAACCCCCGTGCCCGGGTACGATGGTGGACTTGTGAACTTTGGACGCCAGCAAGCCGGGAGGGGAGGCCGGAAGACAGGACAGTATACAAAGATCAGTAATCGTCATCCTTCTGATGGTGCTGAACAAAACTTCACGCAGAGGAGTTCCTCGTTCGAGAGCCTCCCGCGGCTTTGAAGTAATAAATTGGCACCAATGGAAGACGTGGTGGAATCTCCGGCAAGGAGGGGAAGATTGTGTTGAAAGAAACTCGAACCCGACATCGGATCGGTTGATTGATGAAAACTCGATTTCGAGTTTCCATCGAGCTGAGCTCATTCTGGAGTCATTTCTGAACTCAACTGTTTGCAGTTTTTCCGTAGGACTTGCTAACTCACAGACTTGTAATGCTGAGAGATAAACGGCATGGTTCTTCAATTGTCCATTCGGCGTGATAACACGGAGTGATATCGATGGGGGACCTCGCTGCTCATTGGTGCAGGCTTGGGGAACTATCCATCGCCGACTCTCTCCGGGAATCAGGACTATCCGATGAGAGGGTAGTGGAGTTCTCCAGAAACCTTCAGGCATTAGAGGATCTAGAAGAATTTCAAGGCAAGGACTTGGAGGAATTTTGCTATAAGTGTAGAGATTATGAAGACGATGCGTTGCCGGCCACTCAGGCCGGCTCGATCGAGGAGCGCATAGGTGGTAGTCTCGTACACCGATCCAGCACTTTGAGCTCACAGTTCGCTCGCAAGCGAGTTCAAAGCTACTGGAAATGCTTGTTGTTGGCTGTGATTGGCCGAGGTGCACGGCCTTCCAAGCTCACCAGCATCTCACTGGTCGGAGATGGAAGCGAGATAAGTTTGGATGAAGACGAAGCTGTGGCCCTGTGTGTGAATTTGGGCACCAACAACAAGCTGCAGTCGTTGCACTTGCAAAATCAAACTGCATTTGGCTCACAGCACGTCTGCAATTTTGTGATCAAAGCTCTGAAAACCAATTCGGCTCTGAGAAGACTCTCTCTTCCATGTGTGGACATGAACTGTGGGTCCGTGAAGATCCTCATGATGGCGCTCCAGAGCAATAGCACTCTGGAATCCCTGGACATTGGGGGCAATAGCAGGATCGGCGATGAAGGGGCTGCATACGTGGCGCAGATGTTGAAGGCCAACACTTCTTTGAAACGGTTGGACCTTCAAGGAATCGGCTGTGGCCTCGAAGGGGCCAAGGCCATATCCTCAGCTCTGGGACGTAATATCACATTAGAGACTTTCTCGTTCGGGCGCAATCCGATTTTAGCTGAAGGCATGAAGCTACTGCTTGCGCTTTTCATCCCGAAAGAGAATGCAGGCCCTGCATCGTGGAACAGCGTCCTCAACATTCTCAGGGAGAGTTCGGGAGAAATCTGGGACCCGAAGAATTCAACGATCAGGCATTTGGGCATGCGAGACATGAAGAAGCAGGACGTGTCGGTGGAATTCTTGGCCCTGATGCTGAAGACTAACAAGACCTTAATGTCCTTAGACATCTCGGGCATACCTCTGGAATTACACGATTGGATTGACAAGATAATTCCAGCTCTAAAGATGAACGATAACCTGAAGCGCCTCGTGCTGGACAAATCCGGAGATTTGCCCATCGAGCCGCTGATGGATCTCATCACATGTGCGACTACCAAGACCGTCTTGGAAGACATTAGCCTGGACGCCACCAACATGTCACCCAAGGCAGGCCTGATCCACGAGGAGTTGATGATCAACAAGCGGTTCCGAAAAGGCTGGAGGGACCAGATCAGAGTGAAGCCCAGATCCGCCCGAATCGTCCTGTGCGGCTTCGCCTTCGCAGGTTCGTGGAAGTCAGAAGCTCTTCACGTTGTTAATTAGAAATGTTCAATTTTCACTCCCATCAGTCGAGTGCCATCAAGGAAAATGCTTTGCCGATGCCAGCTGATGATCTTCTCTCACGACATTGCAGGAAAGTCCACCATCTGCAAGACTATGAGAGACATCATTCAAGGACGTTCGTACCTGGAGGATTGTCGAGCACAAGTCAAGCGAGTGATAAGAAAGGTTCCGTGCATCAGGGAGATTATCTTTGGCGGTCAAGCCGTGAGGGAGCTCGAGGATCGAACGAGAGGATGCGAGATCGTGCAGCTCAGGGACGACCCAAACCAGGGACGCATATCCGTGTGGGATTTCGCAGGGCTCAAAGAATACTACGCTCTGCACGACTACCTCTTCCCCAGCTTCAAAAACTCGTGCTTTCTCTACGTGTGCAGCCTTCGCTTCCCTCCTTGGGAAGTTCCTCGAACGGGGCCGGGATGGCTCCGTCGTCCGGGAAGCATCAAGAGCAAAGAAGCCATCAGAGAAGAGCTCCTCTACTGGTTGCGCTTCATCGCCTCCAATTCCAAGACGCTTCCTGCAGCAGATGGTCGATCCGGCCCTCTTCCTCGGGTGATTCTCGTCCTCACCAACAAAGATCAGGTGCATCCCATCAACCTGAACCAGACTGCTCGCAGTGCCAGGGAAGTGGTTCACGAGATGAAGGAGAGGTTCAAAGACGTGGTCGTCGTCCAGGAAGAAGTGGAGATTGTGGCTGCTCACTCGGGAGAAGACGTGCAGCGCCTGTTCTCGGTGGCGGAGGAGAATCTAGAGCAGCTGCTGGAGCTGTCGACGGAGTACGCTGTGTGCGAGGAGGTGCGCCGTGTCTTGGAAGACTGCTCGGTTAGGAAGTCCAAACCTGTTTTAGCCATGGCGGAATTCGACAGGTTGTGCGAGAAAGAGCTTCAACCCAACATGGATCCCATCGAATACAAGGCTGCCAAATTGGACACCACAGAAGGCCGAGTCAGTGTTCTGACTTATCTAGACTACGTGGGCGAGATTATCTACACGCCTTCACTGGACCTGATCGTTGTGAATCCCAGGTGGTTTGGAATGGGTGTCTTAGGCTCACTGATAGATGCATTCCGAGGGTCACGGCTAAAGCCGAGCGATTGGCAAGGTGTGATTGGCGCTCTCGGCAGTTTTTTGGGTTCCCGAGAGCAGACGTTTCATCACAATCATGGCTTTGTACGAGAGAAAGACTTCAAAGACATCACCAAGAATTTAGAGCAACACATCGACCCGGAGGTTTTGGTGCAGCTGATGACAGAGTTGGAGCTATGTTTCAAGGTGGATGATACGGACGTCGAAGAAACAGGGGTCAGTGGTGATATCTCACAAACCTCGGAATCTGTGTCAGCAGCCACCCCGTTGCTAGGAGTGATGCATGGCGAACAGCCGAGGGAGGAACACGAGAAGCCGAAGAGCAGCCTTTTATTCATCCCTGCTGTATTCGACGATGATGAAGCTCCTGAAGACGGGCGCAAACTTGAGTGGAATCCTTTACTGGATCAAAGCGGTCAGCACTTCCAGTACGTCGGCCGTCGCTTGGAATGTGAGAATAAGATCCTCACGTTCCTGACCCCTGGGTTCTTTCCCAGGCTACAGGTACGTCCAGCCTGGCTGCTCGTCTTCTCCTAACCGGACTCTGATCCCTCACACTTCCATGAATGCTCGAGAGTGTTTGTAGAATGCTTGTCATTGAAAGACGTGTGACGAGTCGACTGAATTCCGCTCTGTTGCGTGCCAGGTTTATCTGCGGAATTATCTGAGCGCGCAGGGCTGGACACAGAACAAGGGCTTTCGGGTGGACAGAAACCTCATCGGCTTTTATGCAAATGGTATGGAGGTGCTGCTGGAGTACAGCGGAGATCAGGACTATTTTATAGACGTCCTCGTGAAGTCGACACAGCCTTTCTCGGAGACGGTACACTTCATTCAAGAGCGCTTGATAAGCAGAATCAGAGAATTTTGCGCCACCCCCCGAGGGTGCCAAGGGGTGGTACTGGTGGAAGCAGTGGTGAGGCCCGTGTGTGTGAGGCATCTTCACCCTTGTCGAGAAAGGAAAAACCAGGCGGAATTGGTGTCTCTCCTCGAGGATCGGATCAGGGAGAATGGCAGAAGCTATCAATACTCATGGCGGGAGGACATCGATGGGCTCGATGGGCTCGAGGATCTGGACTTTGCTTTGGATCTGCTCAAAGGAAAAGGCTATCTGGACAGCAAGATGAGGAGCCAGATATTGGAAGTCGTGTACCAAGCTTTACACACGACGGGTTCGTTAGAATATACCAGTGCATTTGAAAAGGACGAAGAAGCCGTCATATTTCCCAGGCTCTTCTATCCAACATTCGAGAACGCCGGAGTGGTGCTCAAGATACTGGCGAACATCGACACCGAGATCTCCATCAACGTCCACTTCATGTGCGAAGACAGAGAAGGTGCTCATCTCGTCGAGGATCAGGTGGGGAGAGTAAAGCAAGTAAAGGCCAATAGCAATTCTCCCTTGCTGAAATATGCCCTTAGTCTAATATGGTTTGGTGTAATAAGGGGCAGCAGAGATGCAGGACCGTCCGACGAGAGCGTAGACGAGAGCTGGATCGACAGATTGTTCTGTGCTACTGAATTATCTACTTGCATTGAAGATCTGTTCAGAATCATGGATCTCAGCAAACCCCTCATGACAGCGTCGGTAGACGACACTTTGGATGCTTACACCAGGTATCTGGAGCTGGAGCCTTCGACAGAGTGGCTTTTAGACTTCTTATTCCTCGAAAACAGACGAGATTTTTGGCAAGATTTTCAGCTATGGAAAGTGAGATACACTGACTCCAATCAGACTTCCTGGGTATGTGACGAACACTATCTAACAGGAACAAAATGGGGTAAGGGTACGTTTCGTTCTGTTCTGCACTGATGAGCCTGTGAGGTTTTCTCCTTCCTCCCAAGAGTCCAGATCGGTCTCGTCGTTGGTGGAAGTCCCAGGCTATTGTACTAAACAGATATCTAGAAATTTGTTCTTGGCAACAATACTCTGTGCATAGCGGAAAATGTAAAATATGGCACTTTCCTTCTATATTGATTGGGAAAAAAAACTTCTCCTAATTAACGTCCACAACTCCAGCTCAGCTCAGTACTATGAATTGAAACCTCTCATCTCTCCACGTCATAATCAAGGTTAGCCACATACCCTTTACTTAACCTGAACTACTCGGGCTCATAACCGCGCAGATCTCTGAATATATAATCATCTTGTGATAAGTTTGTTACATTTCCTTGAAGTGAGTTCCACCATCTGGACAACATATTCTCATTATTCACGGTCATGTGTTTTTTATTTCTGAAATCCATCTTCACCGCATGATCCATGGTGCCGTACTCATGCCCCAAAGATATCCTGAAAACTGTTTCCCTATCCCCAAGGAATCATGGAAGAAAGCCAGTGACGATATATAAAAGCAGTGGCGTGCAGTCTTGATACGAGGTTGCAGAGGTCGACTGAAACTACGCCAGCTGGTTGTAGAATCTGGAGATTGGGGTAGACTGTTGGAACAACCCTCCTGCTATGAGCACGCAGGGAGTGACGAGGAATTTGGGTAGAAAGAGTGCGAAACATGGGTGATGTCGACGGGACCCTTGAGAGCGACTCTTGTGGTAATTTGATCGAAAATTGTTACAAAGAGCACCTACCGTGAGACGCATGCGTCCTCAAGAGCTTCTACAGTATAGGTTTTCCCACTTTTCCATGACAAATCTCTCTGTGCTTGTCTGCGGGCCAGCATCTACATCGCAAAGATCAGAGATCCTTCTGATCCAGAAGCGTATACTATAAGCACTGTCTCCGGAAGCAAACAATCCGTACAGCTCAAAAATTTAGAATAATCTGAACATCTCTGTTCAGCCTTGTCATGACCGGGATGTTCACTGATCGAGACATTTTCTTGTCAGTCGACAGGGCTACTCAGGAAAAGTTCCGACTTGAGGGTCTTTGGTTTTAGTGCAAGAGGTACGAGCTCCATTCGCGGAAGAAAAAATACCTGTCAACCCAAGGAAGGAAAACTCCTTCCCATGGAATTGTGCCCGTCTGATGGATAAGGAGGACCTAAGACCACAGATAGAAATTGCCTTTCGGGTTCTGAAATCGACTTTCTGGAAATCCAGCCCTCTTCCGACTGGTCAGACTACGACACTCCTCGCGTTCTCATCCAAGTTACTCTCCTCTCAGACAGACGTGACAAGATTTCGATGAATTGACGTCCTCAGCATGCCTCCCTACACTGCCATACACGAACGGAAAGGAATTCTTTGTGTCGAGCTCGAGACACAAGGCCGTGAGACGGGATCATCCCCGACGTCCGTCGTTTTATTGCAGTTTGGGCTCGAGGAGTTTTCATGATGTTCGCAAGCGAAAATCATGACGCCTCGTGTTTCATCCGCTGAGAGTTAACTTCTCAAAAAGGCACCGCCGCCGGCATTCCCTCGCAATTCATCGGCCTGCTCGTGCACATCTCAGACTGGCACGGGCTATTGAGGCTAAGGCCGCTCGAACCCCAGGGAAGTTCCCGGCGAACGCAAGCTAAAGTAATTATGTCACTGGCAACGAATCCCAATCCGACCTGCGACGGATATCGATTCTTACGAGAGCAATGCATGCTCGTGCCCGAGGATCGAAGGTGCAGCCCGATGTCTCAGAACGCAGGACGTGCCTGAGCTGACTGACGGTTCCCGCCGTTTAATTACTCGCTTTCCGTTCTCCCGCCCCTGCAGAATCCGCAACCTGGAAATCCGAAAGAGGCAATTGTGGCTTAGGAGGTCCAATTTATCCCACCAGAGTCCGGATCCCAATTCGCGGTATCGGAGATGGACGCGTGGAGGCGATCGGAGGTGCAAGCTTCGATCGATCGACCGACCGAGATCCCATCGGCGATGGCGAGCCATTGAACATGTGACGATCGAGGGGGAGATCCGAGCACGAGCCCATGCGCGTCCTCGTCCGGTGGGGAAGGGTCGCGGAGAGAGTCCCGAGTCCCAGGGATGGAAGCGAATCTTCCCTCCGTAGCCCGGCAGATCCCGCACGGGACTTCACGTCCATTCGCTACGAGCCGGAGGACCTGATCCGAGCTCCCACGCTGCGACCAATGGCCGCTCCATCCCGGTACAGTACATGGCCACGGCCATGGCGGGCCGCTGGCCGCCGTCACAGGGTCGCGACTCGAACGTCAGTGTTCTTGACTCCACGCTGCCGCGACCAGATTCGCTACGACCACGAGAGGGGCTGCTGCTGCTGATGCTCCTCCTTCCTCCTTCCTCCTGCCCAGAGCTCAGCGAGTGACGAGGAGCTGATTCTCCAGGTCCTGCTCGTTTCTAGATATTTGTAATTGCGGAGGCGGAAAGATACAGAGTGGCTGGTTCGGGCCTGCTTCAATTCTTCTCAGGAAGATCGAGGAACGACGGTCTATGCGAGGGGCCGAATTTTCGTCGCCAGCTATCGAGGTGCTATGTCGCAGCGACTAGTGGTGCATCCCATGACGTGCCCAGCGAGTGCGGTGGCGCGAGTGGGTGGATTGGGCGGGTATGCGACGTCCGGGACGAGGTTGCAGAGCGCAGCTCGGAGTGGAGCGACGGTAAGGCAGCCGCGGGAGCAGGGAGCGCTGTGTCGCGTGCGTGCTGGGAACTCTAGGCAAGGGAGATTTGTTCCGAATCTCGAGCTTGTGCAGTCTCGGAGGCGGTCTGTGCGGCGCACTTGTGCATCGCTCGGCTTTACTGCGGATCCTCGTATCGGGTGAGAAATGGCAGAGAATTGGAAGAGGTTTAATTGCTTCTTGCAGTGGTCCTCGCCGATTTTTGAACAGTTTCAATTCGTTTTAGCTCGTTCTAATTTGAATTCTTGTCATGAATTCGGGCATCAGAATCGAGAGAGCAGCTAATGGGTTGCTCAAAGACGCCGCCATGCTTCTAGTTTACCAGGATGTCTTCAGAAGCCCACCAGCACAGGCTTTCTTGAAGGTTCTGCTTGCCCTCCGGAGGGGAGATGGTAAGCTCCCGTTTACATGTACATGATTTCTTCCAAGTGTAATTATGGTAATTGGCTCGTAGAAGTAAATTTTAAATGGATAGATGAAGCTTTAGTTTGTCCTTCTTCAAAACTCTGATACTAGAATCTTGGATTGCTAGCTACCCAAAAGCTCCTGCACGCTCAGGGTTAACGCTGGACTGTGAACAAGTAACGAATTCGAGGTGTTTTGGCAGATGGATTGAAGCTTTTGGAGTCCTATGGAGAGTTTTTCAAGTTGATGGCTATTGGTCGCTATCCCAGGTCAGTTCTAGCTTTATCTCCCCAAAAGCTTACAATCTATGCTGAGAAAATAATTCGTTTGAGAGTAGTCGATGCCTGAGCTCCACAGCCTTTATGAGAGCGGCATAGGCGAGGGTGCGGGCTCAGGTGATCAACGTGCAAAGAGTTCTCTTCGGTTGTTTTTTTCAAGTTGTTAGATTCGAATGATTTGTTGCATTCCGCCACTAGGGTTCCATCTCCAAGAGTTCGAATTCTGAAAATTAGAAAGCGTAGGTGATCATATATTTTTATATCACTGCTTATAATATAAAATATGTATAATTTGCTCTGCCTGCTTAGATGTTTTGGTTTTGGTCCATCTTTTTTCCTCTAATCACGCCGGTGTCAGACGAGATTGTTCTGCTATTTGAGTCCACGAGGACTGCCCAATCAGTAGAGTTGATTGAGTTCTCACGAGGGTTTATTCTGTTCATCTGCAGCTGGGAAGATTACATTCTGGAAGGTATACTTGCTGGAGAAAACAACCCTTTTGTGGAAGCAGCTGCCAATGTCGGGAACCCGAAAAGTGCTTGGTCAGGCGGCGTTCCTCCTTCTTTGCAGGCTGCTGCTGCTGCTGATCTTGACAGTCTTCAACGTCTCAGTATCACCGAGTCGACCTTGAGTGGCTGGGTATACTTCTACTTTCCCAACCTTTAGGATTTCGTCTGAGCATGACGCTTATATCATAGGAAGGGCATTCTGACTGTTCTAGTGTCTCCCTTCCTCGTCTGTGTGAAGGTTATCCAGAACTTGTATCGAGATACGAAGAAATGGGTCACTTTCAAGTCTGTCGGGTTTTTGATTATTCTCTGCTCAGGTGGCAGAAATGGTAACGGATGTGAAACCCGAATGGCGAACTGCTGCTGCGTCAAACTTCAGCTCCAAAATTATACATAAGTCTCCGGCGTACGCAGAGGAAGGAAGCAATACCTTCGGCTTCAATTTATCTGGTGAGTTACTACAAGTCGAGTACGTGTATATTCCTTCGAAGTTTTACTGCAAAATTTCAAGAATAGTTTTCTGTAGATATTTTATGGCTGCATTTTCTGGGAACAGGAAGACATTGTTCTCCAAAGCATTACATGTCTTTAGAAACGGCTTGAAGAAACTCTAGACCATGTACATGAAACGGCTTTAAGAAACTTCGAATTAGAGAGCGAAGGATTGTATCCTGCTTCGAATACCTATGTGCTCTCGTGTTCCTTATAAAGTCCTGAATATTTATGACTTGCATTTCTTCCTTTTCCTCTGTTCAGAGGAAAAGCCGGAAGCCGAACCATCAGCGGTAGGAGTGGACCAAGTGAAGAAGTCAGTATCTGAAGAAGCTGAAGGCATCGAGTCTGCTCCTGGTCGTTACTTGAAAACGATTCATACCTTTCTGGATGAGGGTGAGTGAGGTCAACCCTTAGCATGTAATACATCAGAAGAGGTTCATTTTACCTGGTTTTTGGCATGATTTTATTGCATAATATCTTTGAAAGTAAGCATGTAGAACATTCGGTTGTTGTACAGATAGAGAGAGGTGGAGGAAGAAAATTGGAGGGCTTTGGAGGTGGTCTGAAGCTGTTCCTTTGTTGGAGAAGTATTATGCCGATCACAGCGTTGGACGGGTTGCGTCTACTCAATGTAAGTATTGTGCATCAAGACCTTTGTCAAATATGGTCACGTTGCTGTCAGGGACTAAGTATTAGATGGGCAGTTGCAATTACTGAAGGTTAGTGGCCAAAACATTTACCCACGTCGAGGGTACTTGTCAAATGGTAAAGATCGTATCTTAGTTTACCATCTGTACATTTTGTGCCAAACATACAAACAGATGTAATAATGCCCAACCTGCTACAGATTTGCAGTGGAGAGCTGGAAAGCTTATGCTAGATACGAAGTGGGTTGTGAAAACAACAACTGCATGTGATTTAAGCCTCAACAGAGAAAAGAAAGAGATCCTATTGAAGAACCTGACGAAACATGCTCATAGACGTACAGCCCATCACGTTCTGCTGGTAACTTCGCAAACCTGAAACATACTGCTCTACTAGTATAAATTGACATCATTATTTAAAAAAATTTCACAGTATATATTATTGATGACCTTCAATTGCCGATACTGTTCCACTTTGTTTGTCCACACGGTGTTAAGTTGACCGTAAGGTCTCGTCTAAATTTGTTTTTTACTAACTGACATGTTTTTGCTTTCAGTACGGTCCTAGTGGGATTGGAAAAACTTGGCTTTTGAGATCAGCACTGAGCGAAGTCACCAGTATTAAAGATCTACGGATTGTGACGCTCCCTGTTTCTGAGTTGAAGAGTATCTTTGCTGTTCTCGAAGAACTGGCAAGGCATTGGAGACTTCGATTTGCCCTTGTGGTGGATGATTTATTTTCGCGGGTACGAACATTTATTTCAATATTATATGATGGAGTTTAGTAACATCAACTAGAGTCGCAGTCAGTCCAACTCGTGTAGCAGATTGGTGCTAAGTATTTAAGGAACATTCCATGAATCGCTATTCGCTCATTGTCAGAATGGAGTGTTGAAAATCATAACTTCAAAACCATCACGTGGTGAAGCTGAGGCTCAATGGGAGTAAATCGGTCTTAACACCAGCATGCACTTTAAGAGAGAAGGACGGAAATCATCGCACAGCGCTAGCAAGGTCAGATAAAGACACGATTGTAAGATCGTTAAGGCAGTGTGTAGCTACGGGGCCATTTTTTCATACGAGGCCTTTTTTTCCGTTTTCTTGGCAAAGGCAGAAGGGAGCTTGACTGTAGGCATAGGGTTATTAGTCTGACTTGTAGACTATAGTAGAGGAGCTTCAGCTAGCCGCACACAAGTATGGGCCTATCGAACTACAGGCTCAGCATCCAGAGAATTGTGTTTCGACAGACGTTTTCGATAAGTCCATTTATCGAATTTGGCAACAACGTAGTATATGGGGAGTGGAGAGCAGTGCTTCCGGTTTTGTCCCGCTTGTTAACATGCAGTTTGCTTTGTGGGTATCTGAATTCTCACATGGAGGGGTAATCATGTTGTTAGCTTAATGGATGATTACACCGTCGTTTCACTGACAGACTTCTCTTGGTTTCAGGGTGGAGAGGAAACCTACACGCTTTTAAAATCTGCTTTAGACGGGAATTCACAGGTGCGTATCTTCCTTAGCCATCTTTCTGAAGCTTTCGAGGTTACTTCGAGAGTAGCGTGTAGTTGTTTGTTATGTTGCTTTTCTGTCCTAGCTTCTCGTTTTGCCCATTTTGGTGACTGAGTTGCACCAAAACTGAAATTTTTGTCATGGCAGGAATGGCCGGAAAACGTCTTATTATGTGGTACGAGTTCAAGGAAAGTGGCTATACAAGGGAAAGACGGTGTTGCCGGATATGGAGATCTGTCACATCTGTTTGGTTCTACGTTAGAGTTTGCAGACCTTGACGAAGTTGAGTACGACACATGCGTCAAAGAATTATTGGAAAACCGAATAGCCAACACCTCTTTCGATACAAACATGTCCCGAGAAGAAGTAGTTCAACAAGGAAAGGCATGGGCTGAAAATATCAACGCAAGGAGCGTCAGATCAGCAGCCCATTTTGTAAATGCCCTAGAGTAAACCATCACGTAAAGTTTTTTAAGTACTTGACTTTTGTTTCGGACACACGAATGAATGGAATTGTCACTAAGGCTGACCGAAAAGAGAAGCATGACTAGGGCCATGAGGCCATCCTTCACCACTCAACCACATCAAGCGGAGAGTCTCACGGAGAGTCAACAAGCGGAGAGCATCGGTGTGCAACACTAAGGAGCGGTCGCCTGACCGGAAGCCAATCCGACACGGCTGATGAACCTCACTTCCTCAAGACTGTTCTTGCCTGCGGCCATCGTTTTGACTTCACAGAAGACATCGACCAGAAACCTCACTTCTTCGAATTTCACATCTTTGTAGATGAGTGTGGGAGCTGAAGATCGCTGAGGGTCTTGTGTGGAGCATATCGTGGGATGTTTCCGCTAAGTAACCTCTCAGAAGACAAGAATGATCATAAATGCGTGACATGACATGGGCTCATCGGCATGACACATGGATTCAACTCCCAACTTTCACATATGAAACTCGAATAGGTAAAAATCCGAGACCTGCTTCACATTTAAAAATCATACCCCAACCCGAGCCGTTCCCACGAATTCTGCGCTTGTGGTACCCTCACTAGACCCATATCCGGAAACCAACACACATCCTTTGAGGCGATACCCCGACTTGGATCCAAATAGATGGGAAAAAACCATCCATTTTCTATTTAGTTTTCGTTTCTTGGTGGGACCTTAACCTGGACAGTAGACCATAGTAGCATTGAAGGCAGAAACTTGAGATCCTAGAGTTTGGAAGGACACAATAGTTCAGATTTTGCGGTACATGCTGGAATGACCAACACAGAGCAAGCAAGTTGAGGAAATACAAGAGCTGAGAGCAGGTAAGTCGAGAAGTTACAAGGAATTCGTTTTGATGGATTTCTTCGAAGATAAAATTCAATGTTTAGATAAAAGTGTGCGTTCATCCTCATTACACTCATGACAAATATAGTTGTTGAGTTCTGTTATGAAAGCAAATTCAATCTGCTTGTCATCGGCGAGAGGTATTTTGTCGATGGTGTTGTATCTCTCGGAACTATACTCGACAAGACGCCGCTCCACACATAGATTCATTTCTATTTTTTATGGGGTCTCACATTGTCCTTGCCGATGCCAAAGCCAATCATATGATCTTTCATAATACTTTCTAGATTTTTTTTGTCAAGCTCAACATTGGCTAAGTCTATACCGAACTTGTCGAGACGACACTTGGTTTTAGGATTGAGTAGGACAATGACATGAATGTCGCTCCAAACGAACTTCTTCGTGATCAGTTTCACAAATTTTGGCTTCAAGGTGATTTTCAATGTGGTTATCGTGCCATCTTTCTCCTTCGTGATGATATCCGCCGTAACAATGTTTTTAGTAAATTCTACACAATTAGAGTACACACACGGTGTAGCGTAAGCTCCGCAAACACCTCCAAAGGTAGTATGGCCTTCTGAAAGGGCATTAGAAAAGCAATGAATTCCTTGAGAAGTTCGTGATCAATCTTGGTGACCTTGAAAACCAATCCGTGGCTTCGTGCATGTAATATCTCGGTTAATTTTGGAAGTGCTTAGTTGATCATACAACAAAGGGCAGAATTTAATCTTGTTGCATTTTGTTGCTTGATGATCTTTATAATCTCATCTTCAAGATTTGCTTGTTTAACTTATGTTAGGAGAGCTTTGATCTGATTAATAATATCAAACAACTCAAAGTCTAGATGGTAAAACTCATAAAAGGGAGAGGATTTCTTACTTTCGATCACATGAGTACTCTAGTCAATAATCGTTATTAGAATGGTTTCAATTATGTGATCACAACGCGGTATCCAATTTTAGAGATTGGAAATGCCATCAGCATAGTACAAATTCACGAGCACGAGCCTCGATCGGTGACAACTATGACCTGATCATAGCTATTGATGCCAAGTTTTCGTAAAAATCTCTCATATTTTTACAGGAAGTCGAAACTGTGATGCGGTCCATGAAACAAACTGCATGCAATCGTGCGGTGATGTACAATGAACTCCTTATTGATGAAATCCGTAGTGTCCAACAGGAAGGAGAACTTGTTGATGTCATCGGTCAATGACATCAACTGCCATGGTGCTGCCAATCCGAATTATTTCCGCCATATGTGCCTCCAAGGCGGCAGTCAATACATCCCATCCAGCATTAGATCGGATCTGCACAATTCTATTGATTGTGGTTGGATCAAGAAGAATATTGTCCACAAGCATGTTCACATTAGAGTTGATTCCAACGTTGAGTACAGTTCATGAACCTGTTGCCCTTCACAATATGAAATGGACGCGTGTCAACAACGCACATGTCCACCAACGCTACGGTGATGAGTTTCTTCTCAGTTGTAATTGCATCGTGGCGCGTTGTTGTAGCTGTCATCACTTGGTTGGTCTTTGTTCTATAAGCAAGAAGTCTGAAAATCTTCTAGGAACAATTTAACAATTAACCCTAATTTACATTTTTATACCGAACTCTACTCAGGATCATCTTACGAAAAATCCAACCCATACCTGAACCAAACCTTTCTTAGTTTGATCCAAACCCAATCGGTACCCGTTGGTTCGGATGGGTACTTTTCGGGTTTCGGATATGGATACCCGATGCACGTACTTGGTAAGGATTTCTCCTTACTTCCACAAAAATAAAGCGTGAAGCCACCCTCATGAATGCCCCGAAGTACAAGATTCATAGTCAGATGCGTCAGACTCCATCGCGAGCTTGCTCTAAACTTAATTAACGAATCCGAATCTTTGAGCATCACTACAAGCATCACGAGCTCTGGATATCAAATACTCGACCGCAATGTCCCTACTTTGTACTCTGTTTAGTAATTGTAAAGTTTGTGGCTTTTTTCAACTTGAACAAGGAAGGAGAAACCTTTGTCAGACGTGTATTCAATCAAAATTTCCACAAGAGGTGTTAGCACATCCTTCAACGTAGGGCCAAACGCCCAACACGCAAGATTGCATGCCATTAAAAAGCAAAATTTTTCAGATCTAGTCAATGCAAGCTATTGGGTTTTTCCTCTCTTGATCTACATCTACATCTCTTTATCTGTACCTAGATCTTTTTTTTTTTTTTTTGAAGATAATTGCTTGATGGCACTCTTAGAAAACTCAAATTGCTTGATGGGACTCTTAGAAAACTCAAATTACTTGATGGGACTCATTAGGTTTCAATATACCCTATAGGACTCCACTTAATGGTCATGTAGATCATCGTCGGGCATGTTTTAATCAAAGTTCTTATAACCTGATGATTTGTGTTGCAGCGTAGATAGTGTTTGACACTATCAGGTGTAACACTAGGGTTTAGAGAGAAGTTCACTCGAAGATAGAAACGTAAACTCTGAAGATGAGAGATACCACCAATGGTTCTCCTCTCCCTTATATAGCTCTCACCAACAAGTACAAGGTGATAAGATCTAATTCCCACCATCCATCCCACTCCTAGTGGATGGATGACGTGGCGGATAACCCTAACAAGCACACGGATCGCTGACGTGGCGCACCCAACTAACACACCCACTCTGTACCTACCAAGTGCGCGGATCGCTGATGTGGCAGCTATGACTAGTGCACACTAAAGTATCTACATCCATATTCAGAGTAACCTCTACTTTAGTTCTAACTAACTAAAGATGGTTACAAACCTCCCTCCTTTTAAGATGCAACGTCTTCGTTGCACATACGTTCAAACTCCTGAACTATCAAAGGTGCATTTGCTAAATTTTTAGCTGGTTCCCAAGTTGATTCATACGATGGATAGCCTTTCCATTGAATCAAATACTCTACTTTGGGATATTTATGACCTCGAATTCGTTTCTTTAGTATCTTTTCTACCTCAAACTCCTCATGATCTGCTATCAAGGTTGGAAGAGGAGGTGGTGCTGGTTGGTTGGTGAATTGTTTTGGTCGTGGTACATGTTTTCGCAATCGTGACACATGAAATACTGGATGTATTTTCATATGTGACGGAAGTTCCAACTTGTATGACACTTCACCAACACGCTTCAAAACCAAAAATGGACCAATGAACCTAGGGTTTAACTTTGGTGTTCCTACAAGAGACAAATTCGTTGTAGATAACCAAACATGATCTCCAACCTCAAAAATCACTTCTCTACGATGAGCATCGGCATGCTGCTTTTGCCGATTTTGAGCTATCACCAACTTCTCCTTGGCCTGATGTAGTCCTCGGTGAATATGCTCCACGAATTCGTTGACTGCTGCAACTTTGGTCGAAAACTTCTCTCCTTTGGGAAGTCTCATCAAACTTGAAGGAGTTATCGGATGAGCTCCATACATAAGAAAAAATGGAGACACTTTTGTGCATGCATTAACTGAATTGTTATATGCAAATTCCACAAGTGGCAAAAGGTTGTCCCACTCTTCTTGCTCTTCTAATGTGAATGCTCGTAGCATATCCTCTATAGTTCTATTTGCCCTCTCAGTTTGTCCATCAGTTTGAGGATGATAGGCCGTTGACATTGCTAGTTTTGTTTTGAAAAAACTAAACAAAGTTTTCCAAAATAAACTAGTGAAGTGAGTACCTCTATCCGTGATTAACACTTTGCTTAAGCCATGATTCACAAAAACTGCATCTAGATACAATTGAGCTAGTTGTGGAGCTGTTACTGTTTTTGTGGTTGGCCTGATGTGAATCATCTTGCTCAATTTGTCCACAAAAACCACCACTGAATCATGTCCTAACGAAGTCCTTGGTAACTCACATACAAGATCCATGGTGACATGTTCCCACCGCTGTTCGGGAATAGGAAGAGGCTGTAATAAACCCGCTGGTTTTTTATTACTTGCCTTGTTTTGTTGACAAGCAACACAACTTCGAACATAAGACTCCACATCCTCACGTATTTTGGGCCAATAGTACACTCGTTGTATACTCTCCACGGTTTTCTCCACTCCCACATGACCTGCAATGGCTGTATCATGACTTTCTGCCAAAATCATTGTGCGCAAATAGTGATCTTGTGGAATCCATATACGCTGATTGTAAAACGCCAAACCTTGAGATTTCTCTGCCTTTCCAGTTTGTAGT